GGAGCACTACACCTTTGACCCGCCGAGACGAGACAGCGGGGCGATGCACGGTGGGCCGGAAGACCGGCGGAGGCGGCCAAAACTCTAGACGCGTTTTGAGCTCCAGAGTCGCTAAATGGGACTCGAACCGAACGTGTGACCCCATCAATGGATTGCTCTCGGAACGAGGAATCCATTCGTGGGGTCACACGTTCGGTTCGAGTCCCGTTTAGCGACTCTGGAGCTCAAAACGCGTCTAGAGTTTCGGCCGCCCCCTCCGGTCCTCTGGCCCACTGTGCGATGCTATTCGACTAATCCGCTGCAGAAACAAGCTTGTTGGTGGAACGGTACCAAGCGCCGCCAAGTGGACGACGACGTGCCGGTCTTTACGACATGGACTCGTTTCCAGGCGCCGTTTGACCTATAAAGAGAGACGCGAAAAAAAGCGAGCGAGAAACATTCACACCTCGTCGTGTGTTATTGGCTTTGTTTCACGTAATAGCACGCGCGGACGCTGGATTATGAGGAAGTATCGAGAAGAAACAGGAAAAAAAATGTAATAAAATTTGCAAAAAAAAAACTTGCGAAAAAATTTGAGAGACGGGAATATGGTCCAGCGAGGACGTGTCCGATGAGCTAACGACCTGGAGCAGCGGCCGGCGGGTTGGCTCTCTGCTCGCCTCTCTGGCTAGTCTGATCCAGATTCCAGCCGAGCCGGCCAGAGGCTGCCGTGCTGCAGACTGAGAGTCGTTTTCGTCGCTCTCGCTCTCTCGCACTCATGGGGCGCCCCCTAGAGGTGCGAGCGAGACGGAGCGACGAAAACGACTCTCGGAATCGGTCTGCTGGGCCGTGCCTGCCGGGCCGTGCCGCGCCCCAAGCCTGGCCAGCCAGCCCGACTGGCTCCAGTAACACACTGCACGACTGCAGGGAATCCTTTCACTTTCCAGCACACCGCTCCAGCGGCAGCACACCGGGCAGAAGAAGAAGAGGGAGGAGGAGACCCAGAGCACCGTAATCCCGACACGAGTAAATACCAAATTAGGCAACGTCCTAATCCAGGCACGCCGTGAATGACACGCACAACACACGTAACGCCGAAGGGCCCTTCGCGCCGTAACGTCTGTTTACTAAACACGTAACGACACCAAAATGATTCATTGCTTTTTTTCGCGCGCCAGCGGCTATCGCTATCTCCCTCCCTCTCACTACACTTTCCAGCCGAGTGAGCGGTGCGAGTCGGCAGCGGCAAAAATGTCGCACGGGTCACCGCCCGCGCACTCTTCCTTCCACCGGCATCCATTTTTTTTAAAATTAATAATCATTTTTTTTATTTTTGCAGTTTAAATTTTAAATTTTCGTTCATCTAATTTTTTTTTAATTTATTACGTAGTTTTAGTCTTGTATTCCTTTTTTTTTAGTTTTGGCTGCTCGGAAAGCCTTCCGAGCCAAACGAGCGAAATGCGAGCCGGCCTCGGTTTGCTTTTTTCGAACGACGCATGCATGCTGCGGCATGGCAGCGCCAGGCAGCGCCCAGCGCGACAACGCGTCAATCCAGCCGACTCTGCACCGCGCGGGGCGGGGCGGGGCGGGCAGAACGGCCACCCACCGCAATTTCCCACTTCCTGTCCACGCATTGATCGGAGCAGGGCCGTGTCGCTTGTAGTGTAGTCGCAAAAACAACAAAACAATGTTGTTAAAACCTCCCAATTCCGGTGCAATGTACGTATCATAAAAACCACAACGACGCGCAGCGAGGCCGACGAAAAACAGTGGCGCGCGCGTTACATCCACGGTCTCTCATGGCCATTTTGGCGCATCGCGCCGCGTGGGCGGTAAGTGCCCTTCGCTCACGGAACAGCGCCGGGCCGAGGAAAAAATAAAATTAAAAATAACAAAAAGGAAGTCGGACTGTAGAAACGGGGTGGGCCAGACCGGCCACAACGGGGCTGCCAAATCGCCGATCGGCGTAGCTTGCGACTGGAGTCGAGACTGGAGTCGCGCGAGTCGCGCCCGGCAGACTGATTCCGAGAGTCGTTTTCGTCGCTCTGTCTCTCTCGCGCTCAAGGGGCGTCCCGCAGAGCAGCGAGAGAGGCAGAGCGACGAAAACGACTCTCGAAGTCAGTCTGCTGCCCCGACCCGCACGGTATGCCGGTTACACTAACGGGCCCAACCACGTGCCTCACGTAACCGCGACGAGCCGCGAAAAAAAAAATTAAATAGAACGCAGAATACATTATTCGCAGAGCAGTCCTGAGGTTGGGGTCCGGCTATTCGCAGCGCGAAGCGGAGGAGCAAGGGGGAACTGGCCGACGTGTTTGTGACGTCACTTGGCGTGGAGCAGCGCGAAGCGGCGCGTCACGCGTCACAAAGGGTGTGGTGGCAACCCTGTCATTCACTCAGCCCCGCCGCCCCGCCCCGCCCCGCCTCGCCACAAGCTGGCAGGCAGGCCAACACCCTCGGCGGTAGCGCCCGTCTGCCTCCGTGAATGAAATCAGTGTGCCGACCAAAACCCACAGTGGTACAGTGCAGCGGGGGAAGAGGGGAGGGGGGGGGGGGACTGAGAGACGTGACCGGCACCGCATGCACGCCCGTGTGCGTTCCGGCGTTCCAGCAGGACCCAGCAGGACTAGCGGAAACAATACCAGGACCTTTTGTTCGAATGAAACACACACAGTCGCACGTTCACACACACACACACACACACCGGCAGACACATTGAACACACCCCGCACTCGCGCACTCGGCACGTGAATGTATAAGCACGAGCACATGCCCCGTCAGGCGCCGTCGGGCGCCCGAACTCGACGCGCGGCGGAGGGCGCCATTTCTAAAGGCATGAAAATAAAAGAAAGAGAACTGGAGAAAAAATATGCATCGTCATATATGCAGTGGGAGGTTTTCATCCGGCTTCTTTGCATCACGTATGTACGGTCCGGACTGGCCAAAAAAAAAGGACGAATTAATTTAACTAATCAAGGTATGTCCGCCCCGGAGGGCCGGAGGACTTCCCCGAGGCGCTTTTCATCCGCCTGCCGGGTGCTTCCAACCCGGTGGCTTGTCGTCCTGTCTCTCTCGCACCCCTACGAAACGCCGCATCAAGAGGGAGAGAGACGGCGGACAAAGGCAAGGCCAGAAGGACCGCTCCTGTCGGGAATCGAATCAGTCCGCTGATACCGGCATGGCGTCACTGCTTCGACGGCTTCGACGCCGTGGTCCGTCCGTGTGTAACAGACTGGTCTTTCGTCACCAACTCGATGCATTAACCTGGAAGTGTCCGGGCCTCCGCGCCGGCCAGACAGAGCCCAGAGAGAGGGCGCGGAGTGGCACGGAGGGGAACAAGGCTAAGACGCGGCCGGCCAACCTGCCCCAGGCCCGCCCACAGGTTCAGGGCTGCGCCACAGTACGCCACAGTGGGTCAGAAGACCGGCGCAGGCGGACAAAACTCTAGCTCGCACGCCCGCGGAGCGCCCCACGAGTGCGAGAGAGACCGAGCACTGCTCGATACGTACTGCGATACAGTGTGTCGGACACGGAGCGGACAAGTTGCATTCGCGTGGTGGCTTCAATGGGCCGTGCCGTGCCGCGCTGCCCCGCTAGACGCGACGCGAGCGACGTGACCGGGCTGCGAACCGCCGCCGTTACCAGCGCAACATAAACAACTCGGCGATCATACAGCTAAAAATACGCTACTCTTTTTTTCTAAGCGTCGATTTGAAGTCGGCGGGGCTGGCGGTGTTACGCCAGGCCTGTCTCTCTCGCACAGGCAGGGGCGCCGCCGTGCGGGTGCGAGAGAGACAGAGCGACGAATCAGTGTGCTAGCCGCGCTGCCGCCTAGCGTTAGCGTATGCATGCCTTTTGGGTGCGCGGTGCTGGCGGTGCGCGGAGCAGCGGAGCACGTGGGCGCCTTGCCAGGAATTCCCCTCCCTTGGCGCGAACCTCTACGCGAAGCGCGAAGCGCCAAACGGGCCGCGGCAGGGCGGGGTGCGTCCGGGCTATCTCTGTCTCCCTCGCACCCACGGGCCGCAGGGGTGCGAGGCAGACGGCCCCGCTCGGAACCAGGCTGCCGCCGGGCGGGCGTTGCGTTTCGCGGAGTCTCGGTCTCCTCCGCGACGCACTACTTATCGGGCGGCCAGCCTACGGGCCAGCCCACCCGCACTGCAGCAGCCTGCCGCCCGCTGTCGCCTCGAAACCGGACCGCACAGTGGGCCAGAAGACCGGTGGAGGCGGGCAAAACTTCAGACGCGTTTTGAGCTCCAGAGTCGCTGAACGCGACTCGAGCCAACGTGTGACTCCACCAATGGATTGCTCTCCAACGAGGAATCCAGTGGTGGGGTCACAAGTCCGGATCGAGTCCTTTTGAGCGACTCTGGAGCTAAAAACGCGTCTAGAATTTTGTCCGCCTCCAAGCCCACAGTGGACCGCCAGCAAGACACACCAAGGCATCCGGAAGCGAGGACACGAGCACAGGGATTGGTCACCCTGATAGCCACCTCGCGTTGCCCGCCTCTGAGCGAGGCAGTGCGAGGCGTGCATATCCTTGCCTTGCGCAAGGACTCCTCAAGGGCTCCGCGAGGACCCACCCAACGCTCTGTGACGAAGACGAAAATCCCTTTTCCGAACGCAAGCCGCGGTCATCGTGACGGAAGCACTGCAGACCGATTCCGATTAGTGCGAGAGAGACAGAGCCAGTCTGCTGGAGTGCCTCTCTGTCACTGGAGTTCGGCAAAGCGGCAAAGCGGCAAAGCGCACTGTGGTACTTTGGCCGGACAGTGCTTTCTGTGTTATCGCGCTTCGCGCTGCGGTCGACATTCGCTGCTCCGATTCGGGCAACACCCGACGCCGCGTCAGGAGAGCGGACAGTCAAAATGACACCAAAATGACGTGAAAATGCCCCCCTGTTCAGCCTTCGGGGCGAACTTCTGTCCAGTCTGACGTCAAAATAGGGGCCATTTCCAGTCCAGTTCGCCTGCTCGCCCTCCCCGAGCGCGGTCGCCCGGACACTTTGCTGGAAGAGTGCTCACCTGGCCAATGTTGGTAAATCCATGCTTGTCGGCTATGCTGTCCGCCGCCTCCCTGCCACTGGGCACATGCACTGCGAACTGATTGTGGAAGATGGCTTCGCACTGGCAGCACACCCACACCGCCAGCGACACTACCACCACACACGCGGCACGCGATCTTACGCCCATTTTCGCGAGAAGCGCACTTGCCAAGTGTCTCTACAAAGTCGGCCTTCTTCTTAGAAAGCCATTAAACCTGCAACAGAGAATACAATAAATTACTTCGACGGATAATCGACTAACGAAAATTGATAGCATTTGACTGCTGCTATCCACGAACAATAAAGGAATAAGTATTAACTGCTTGCTGGGATTGGTGATTTGTTGAGGGTGGAAACGGAGTAATTGAATAGCAAACCCCTTTCCTCACCAAGTCTCGATAACTGTCAATAGTGCTAACCTCTATTGAACACTGGGCATATTTTTCTATGAGAAAACCCTCATGAATTTGAAATGAAATGAACCATTCACAATGTGCCGCAAGCCAGCGACGCCGCATTTACCGTCTGTATTAAAAAAGTAACGACATTCGGTTGCACAACTGAAAATGTGGCAGCAAAAACTAGGACTTGGTCACAGTTTTCTTCCTCTGAGGGAACATAACCAAAGGACCCAACTAACTGTCAGAACAGCTGTTAAAGCCCTGACCGGTCAGTACTTCATCGAATATGTCAGAGACAGCTTGAATTTCTACGGTACGAGAAACGAGAAGAAGTCTTACCAGTTCTCAATGAAGTACTAGATTCATTCAAAGACTGAAGTCCTCTTATTTCAACTTCAGCTCAGAAACAGCACTCGGCAAGAGTGGCAGCTTTTGGATATAAAGACAACGCTTCTATTTGTCCTTATTAACATATTGAATAGTTGTCGCACATAGCTGCCAATGAGTTTGAGAGATTCTCTTGACACTTCACCACCTAGCAGAACACAACCAAGCACAACACAAACACACCCGAAGTGCCCAACGGAACATCAAAGACTGTTTTCCGAAATTCTCCACGGCAGTGATGTTGCGGTTGCGGTGGCGAGACTTCGTTTCGCAGACCGTTTCTAGTCGTATGAGAAATCGAACCAAACTCGAGAAGAGACCGAAATTGACCACGTAGTGACTTTGATCTCTGCCCGACACATGACGGGACCACGGGTCCACGGGTGCCATAACCTCTCAAATCCATGAGGAGTTGTGCCTGTTGTCTGTGTGTTTAGTGAGATTAGTAATCCACATATTTTCCAAAATGTCGGATTCCAGTGATTATGAAGATCATGAGAGTGGTGATTCCGATGCCGAGGTATATTATACTGTTTTATTTTGCCCCTAGCTCTGATGGTTTAAGAATGGAAACTAAGTGTTTTGTGTTCTGTTCACCATTGCAGCTGCAAGCGGCCTTTGCCAGTGGACTCCTTAAACCAGGTCTTAACATACCAGTTGAACCGAAGAAAGTATTTACGAATAATGTGGTAAGTAGTCCCTCGTTGAAAGATGTGTAAAATTTTAAGCTCTGATTTAAATTATGACTTCTTCTTGTGTTTATTTTGTATCGTTGACATGTCTTGTTTGCTTGTTTTCATAGGCTGGGCTTAATTTGAAACATAAGGAAATCCAACAGAGTTTGAAATGGATCGAACGTTTGGACCTCACTACTGGTTTAGCTCCAATTGCACCAGAAATGGCTGTTTATGTAAGGTCACCGAGTAAAGCATATTTATTGCAGCCACCTTGAGATAGCTCTAACTCAATTTTTAAAAATTAGATTGCAGAGAAGGAAGAAGAAGCTGGGAACCCGATTAAAAAAGTTAAAAAATCTTTAGACCCCACTGTGGATGACTTCAAGAGAGAGATGAATTTCCATCGGCAAGCACAAGCAGCAGTCCTTGAAGGTATTCCCAGATTACACTCGCTGGGTGTCAAAACAAAGAGACCTGATGATTACTTTGCCCAAATGGCCAAATCTGACGAGCACATGCAAAAGGTAGGTGACTACTGACTGTATTTGCACTGTTTGCTTATGGTTAAAATTGTCAAGAATTTAATACTTTACTGTGACATTTACAGGTGCGGGATTCCCTTCTGAAGAAGAAGGCTGGGCTTGAAGTTAGTGAAAAAGTTCGTAAGATACGAGAAAACCGCAAAATGATGAAAACACTGCAGGCCCAAGCAGTGATTCAGAGACAGAAGGATAAGAGGGATCTCATGGAAGAGGTAATGTCAAAAAATTTTTCACAGACATTAATTTTTTTAAAATTATGTTATTTATGAAATGTTATTTGTGCAGGTCAAGAAATATCGTAAGGGTGCCAGGAAAGATTTAGATTTCCTGGAACCTGGTGGTGATAAAAAGAAACAAGGTCAGCAAGGGCATAAAAAGAAACTCCAAAACAAGTAAGTCATGCCTCATCACAAGAGATCAATCAATCAATCAATCACGCAACCCCTTGAAGTCATGCCTCATCACAAGAGATCCACTTAAAAATTTTGGTTGACATTTGCTTATTATTATTTTTATTATGGCTTTGCAGACCTGCAGATCGGAAAAGACAGAAGAAAGATGAGAAGTATGGATTGGGAGGGAAGAAGGGAGGTTTAAAAAGGAATACGAAGGAAAGTTCTGCAGATGTCTCCAGCTACAGACCTCCCCCAAGGAACAAGAAAGCGGGCGGGAAGAATGCTAAGGGCCAGAAGAGACCTGGGAAAAGTAGGCGTCATCAAAATGGTAGACCCAAAAGAAGATAAATTCTTGAAACTCTAACTTGTTAATATGAATTAAGAACTTGGCAAATTGTGAATGTTACTTTATAACGACTGTGACTGAATTTTCTTAGTGACAATACACTTTGAAAAACTACATCTGCTTTTGATTTTATTGAAACCCTTCCCACAGATCTTCGACTACCAATTTCGTTTCGCTGTGTAACCATAACTTTCCAGTCGATACTGATTAGAATATTATTTGGCTTTGATCCTGGCAAGGTCTGATCCTGGGGTCGAGTCTTTCAAGGACCGCGTAATTTTTCATCCGCCTGTAACTGCTGCTGCTGCGCTGCAGGGGCCGCACGGCAACCCGCCCCACAGGGAAAACGAACAACACAGGACAGGAGCCGTGAAATCACCGACTCGTACCCAGAAACGCAGTAAAGTCATTCATTTTTCGCTGTTTCTGTGAAAGATCCGCCTGAGTTTCACCATGAGCAACCAATCAGAGCAACTTGCTCAATTTATTGACCTGACGGGAGCTAGTGAGGATCGTGCTAAATTTTTTCTAGAGTCATCCGGCTGGCAATTGGAGGTAAACGAACCATTTACAGCATTCATTTTTGAATTGGTTGTCTGTTTGTTTTGAAACTGACGTTAAATTCTGTCACTGGAATGTAACGTATGAACATTCACGGAGTTGTTTGATTTATTAAGTTCAATCAAGCAAAACATAACCTCATTTTCCAAAATTTGACAGTAATGGTTGTTACACTTAGGTATTCCCCTGGGAATTTTCTTTTAACCAGTACCAATCAAAATTCGTACACTTCATCATGACTGCTTATTGGATGTCACCAAGTTATTTAAAAATTGTGATTGTGGTCTATTTTGCAGGTGGCGCTGGCTAGCTTTTTCGAGACTGAGAACGATAATGAAATGGATCGGGACAGCCCTGAAGTGCTGGAGCAAGTGAACAGTCCCCCCGAGCGCTCTGCCCCTGAACCACAAGCTAGACCTAGTGGCAACAAGAAAAGTAAATCCAAGAGCAAATCTTATTCCAAGTAAGTTATATCACATTAAATGTTGCTGTAATGTTACATTCTCCAAGTACGTATTCTATTTTCTCATGATTTCCTGCCAGTTCCAGCAATCGAGTGCGAACTCTTGCTAGTTATCGCCAGGAGTCTGACAGTGAAGACTCTGGAAATGAAGATGGTCAGGCCTTCTATGCTGGTGGCTCAGATTCAAGTGGACAGCAAATTTTAGGCCCCTCTAAAAATAAGAACAGAGGCAACAAAGAAGATCTTGTGGCTCAGATGTTTAAGTCGGTCAAAGAGTAAGTGTCTATGCTATTCTTTCTTTCCTTATTTTCCCGTTAAGTTGCATTACGACTGAAGTACATCTAAAATCTCTTTGCAGACATGGAGCTGAAGTAGTGGATCCTAACGGCTTACCTGGGCCTGCTGGGCCATCCACCAGTAGTTTTGGTGGTAGAGGCTACCGCCTAGGATACACCCCTGATGACATTGAAGGTGTGTTAACTGCTAACGGTCCTGTCAGAGAGTAGACAAGATGTATGAACCATGCTCACCTATTTTTTGTTTTGCAGAAGTCCCTGAAGAAGGGGCATCTTCTAGACAAGCACCTCAAGTGGAGGTGACTCTGAGGATGTGGAGAGAAGGATTTACTGTGAATGATGGACCTTTAAGGAAGTACTCGGACCCTGAAAATAAGGAGTTTTTGGAGTGCATCCGAAAGGGGTATAGACTGAAGTCTTGATGTTGTTTCCCTGGTTTAGCTTTTTTTTTTGTGCTTGTTTTTTACATCTTCCCTTAACTTCTTAGGGAAGTACCCCGAGAATTAGTTCGTGAAGCCAGAGGAAGTGAAGTCCACGTCAACATGGAAAATCATTCTCATGAGGACCCTGGTCCATACAAGCCGAAAGTTAAAGCCTTTGGAGGGAAAGGAAATGTGTTGGGCAGGTAATGTAGTTGCTAATCTAACCTATACCATTTATCCCCTCCTTTTTTCAAAGGGTGTAGTGTTTTCAATTTTTGGTTTTTCTCTTGCAGCCCTGTACCATCTTCCGTGTCAACTGATGTATCAGCAGCTCCAACTGACCCAAAGACCAAAGAGGCGGCAGAAGAAGCTGCCAAAAAACAGGTTTCAGTTGATGCATCTCAACCAAGTACAACAATTCAAGTCCGCCTCACTGATGGCTCCACCATTGTTGCTCGGCTAAACCACTCTCATACTGTTGCTGACCTCCGGCGATACATCTCAATGTAAGTATTAACAGTTTTCCATTGTCTGCCTCTATTTCAAATCAGTGAGAATAGATCTAATGAAATGTTATTCCTTGTCCTTAATTTTATAGAGCTCGTCCTCAGTATGCCAGTGCTCCCTTCAGTCTTCATACCACTTTTCCCCGCAAGGAACTTTCTGACGATTCACAGTCTGTTCATGCCGCTGGGCTCCTCAATGCTGCAGTTCTTCAAAGACTGGGATAAACGTACTATTACAATGGGATTCAATTGCATTGAGAGTTGTGCAAGGCATCTATGGAGGTACACCACTTTATCTGTAATTGAATTTGACTGGTTGCTTTCGATCATCGCACTTTGACTGTGATTGTTTTAACTACCGAATAATAAGAGTTAGACTGCATTTGCACTAGTTCCCTTTGTTTGTAAGATTCTTTCTCCATTTGATTAGTTTTGAGTTGTCATCTGTTAATGAAAATTTATTTACGGAATTTTAAGTTCTTTATCTGTTCCCCTCTAAAGTCCACAATTTTTTTTTTCTTCTTTCTTTGTATGTGTTTCGTGTACATATCTTAAACATTTTAGCACATTGTTATGCTGTGCATGGACATGCTTCTTTTTTTTGTTACCTTTGCCACTATTTCTCCTCAGAAGTGGATGTAATTTTTTCTCTACTTGGGTAGAGTGAAGGTGGACAGATAGAGATTGGAAATAAACATGCCTAATGAATGACAGATAGTTGAGTTTGCGTGTTTTTTTTCCACCTTTATTAAAAGTCTACATGATGGCTTGACTGATATTGAAGCTTCCTTTAAACAATACAAAGGGTCAAACTCAAAAGAAAGCAACAAAAACTCCAAGGTACCAAAGACTACCCTCCGGTGGGCTGTGCTTTAATGCACCTTTCTATATAAATTTTTCCATCATTTCATTAATTAGGGAAGCTGTTTGGCAGTAAGATCATATTGCTATTCGTTCAGGATTTGCTCTTGGCCTCACAGTAAGTGTTGCTGGTTAACGAAGTCCATGTTACTTCTGCAGTAAATTAATGTAAAAGAAAATTAAAGGAAAAACTGATCTAGTTTAACATCAACTTTCGAAAATTGTGAGTCCATGAGCTAAGGTTACATATGAGCCCTGGTCTCTTAACTTGGTGAAGTCAAGATATATATAATACAATACATGAATTATCAATAAGTAAATTTGAGCCCTGGCTCATGCAGTGTGGCAGCTTTACAATAAAGATACACATATACCAATAACATTTTAGTGGTGAAGCTTACACAAATAAATCAGAAGATGGACTAATTCCATAAACACGTCCACCTTTATCAGGAATAGGTTTTATGATACGCTATTGAGAAAACAAAATTAGGGTCTGTTTGAATTTACTTTGCCGAGTGATGGTGTAACTACATTATCCACACATTCAGTCATTTTCTATCTTGCTCTCATAGGGAGCACAACCATACACATTTTCTCCACTCAGCACATAATATCCAATAATATCTCATATACTCTCGGCAATATCACACAATAAAAAACAGTGCTTCCTCCTTATGGAGGAGTCTTACAAGTGAAAACATCTGTGAACATTACATTTGCATTGGTGTTTTTTTTTCCTAGAATAAAACAATAGAGGAAACAAAATATTTTTTTTTCTAATTTCTTTTTCCCTTTTATAAGCTTTGTACAATCTTGAAAATATACCTGTTAAAGGTCAAAATTGACACCAATATGAGTCCAAAGCTGAAAGTAATGCACTTGACAACATTACTCGGTTGCAATAAAAATCATGAAGCCATGAAGAGCCCTCAAATGCTAATATTTTTATCCTAAAACAATCAACACCAATGTAAACAGGATTTTCCAATACATAGGTGTCATTCTATATATAAGCAATGAACAATCACTCCACTTATAAATTTAAAAAGAGTAAATTCTGAATCATATTATAATGCTGCAGCCATCAGCAAATTCTACTCGCTCCATCTTACTCATACAGGCTGAAAAATGTATCTGCTGCTTGCATATGGTTATGAAAAGAGAAGAAATTCTATTAGAGGGGAAGGGAGGATACACTGAACATGATACACTGAAAATATTAATTCTCTGTGAAGCATAGCATTGTGAGGTGCTGTGGGAAAGAGAAACGGAGAAAGGCAATAATGGTTAACTTTAACATTCCATTCAAGAAATTAGGAGGAAATTTTGCAAGATGTCTACAAGGAATCTTTAATAAAATCAGACCCTGTCAAATTTTCAGATTTAAATTAGATTAGAGGTTTCAATAAAAATAAGAAAACTTTCGGGGCAGAAAAATATTTTATGGATTCTTTTGTCAGGTCCATGAAAACTTCTTCTAATCAAACTTAAGGGTGAAGCATTAAGATCCATTTAATGCATGCATTTTCTCTTGCTGACTAGCCCACATCTGGCCATTAAAGTCACTTCATGTGAGCTACCGCCATTACGATAAACTCTTCAAGACTCACAAATTATTCCAGTGCATCTCCTCCCATACCCCTAATTCATCATTTCCTCATTCTAATACTGCATTTCATCAATCAATCAAATGTTATTCAAAATTGAATCCAAGCATTCAAATAAGATTATACATTCATAACTATAACATTGAATGGATTTGTAATGCTCAAACGGATATATTAATTTAAGCACTCTAACACTAAATCAAGTAAAATATTGTCATGAGTTACATTTTGTCACGAAACTGTGATGTCATTAGAAGATCTGATAAACTCATCATAGAGTAAGAAACAACTCATGCGAATCTTTCTCAACCTGAGTAACATTCATATGTATATGAGGCTCAAAGAGCATGAAATATTTTTCACACTCCTCTATCAGAATCTAGAAAAGCACAGTGCTACTATCTACAAATTGTTCACAAAGGATTCACTGAATTATAAAATAAAAATGTCATGTGTCCTGTACACCACCAAAAGAAATCTCATGAAATATGCTAACGAAGTCAGGAATGATATGACAAGGAGTACAAGACAGTACTTAACACATACGTAAAATTATCAAAAACATTTTCTCAGGCCCACTCAAAGGTTTCTTAGCTAAAAATCAAAGAGCAACTGCCACATAAATTCACTTTAAATATCAAAACATAGTCAACAAATAACATAGAAGCACATTCTGTTTGAAAAGCATAAATTTAAGGCACCACATTGCATTATCTGGATATTCTGAATCAATGTCCTTTTCTTTTTATTCCATATTTGAGACTGTGTAGCATGGGTTTAAAAATGAGATCTGAAAGAAATTATAACAGGGAATGCCAAAAACAAATCCTTTTCAACTTGCCCCAAGTATGAACTTAATTTTGAACGTATTACTGCCAGCAGAATACTACAAATCCTCATCATAGATTTAAGTTTTGAATCAGCCAAACAAAGACAGAGCAAAATGACTAGCAAGGAAGCATTTTTCTCTTTGTGCTGCTCTCCTTTCAGTCTCAACACAAAATACTGTTCCATTTAGCCTGAAGGAATTCCCAAAACATTTTGGAGCATTTTTATTAAAGAAGCTAAAATTGACTCAGATGATACAGTACAGCTCACACGATAGCATAATCAATTAATTAAACAAACCATAGCTAATTTAAACAATAGTAACCATACCACAGCACCCTCATTCCTCAGCAGAGCGAGGCAACAATGGATCTCTTTCAATTCTGCCTTTCGGACCGCTTCACTCTCAACAAACCAAAAAAAATATCTTTCGACTCGAGCATCGTACAACATGCATCAGTTTGAACAATGATACAATAGTAATGATAAAAGATGTGAGTTACAACAACACTATCAGGACCAACGTGAAGCGCAGCCGGGGCAGCCGCGGCCTTTACATGTCGCCGAACAGCCCCGCGAAGGTGTTGCGGAGGATCTTCATGGTGTCCTCGTTGTCCTCGCCCGTGCCCGTCGCCCCCGCCGCCCCCGCCGCCCCCTCACCCGCGGCCCCGCCCGCCTGCGACCCCGCCGTCGAGCCCTGCCTGCCAAAAAGCGAGCGGGCCTCCTCAGCCGGCCGCCGCCCCGTCGCCGAGGACGTGGTGGAGCTCTGGGACGCTGCAACAGACAGACAGGCGGCGCGTCCTTGCGAAGACTGAGAGAGAAAAGGGGAAAAGGGGAAAAACAGAGGGAGACAGGATAGAGATAGAAAGAGAGAGAGAGACAGAGGAGTTCGGCTCGAAGTGGGGACGAAGTCTCAAGTGGGAACTGGCGGATTGGTTAGGAAAGCTAGCTGTCTGCGTATGGCTTTTTAGCTTTTTAGGGGAGGGGGCGCGCTTATTGCTGAGAGGGAGCGGGACTGTCCCTGATTTCTTTCCTCCTCTGGCCTCTCTCTTTTTCACCGAGATCATGAATACCCAATGATTTGACACCCCTCCCACACCCCGACTCCCTCGGGCAAGCCCATGCTGGTGAAGGCCTTTAGCGCCCACCGCTAAAATTACATCCGAGAAAAGATTTCTTTTTGGAGACTGCACCAGGGAGTGCCACCAAAAGTTTGCAACGTGATTTTGTTTCCAAGCCAACGTCATCGCAGCAGGAGAGAGTAAGGCAATAGCAAAAGAAAGCGGAAAAGGAAATGACAGAAAAACAAACAGGAAAAGGAGAGACGAAGAGAGAAGCGCAGAACAGACAAGGAGACAGACAGCCTGTTGCTTTAGCGACTCGCCAAAATCATCAACAACACTCTGTAAACGGCACGGTATGACTAACCACCAAACGGCCGGCCAATCGGCGCCATTCGGAGACGTGACATCAACCGGGCCCATCGCTCATCGTCCAATGCGGTCTAATGGCGCCAATTTCGAATCTTGAATCACCAGTGTCACCTCGGTCCGCGACGACACGGCGTGGTCTCGGTCTCCGTCCCGAGCGAGCCGAGTGAGTCGCCCGGCAGGTAGGCAGAGCCGGCGCACCGACGTGCGCAGCGGGCTTGCCTACCCTCGACCCCGCAGGGGCTCTCTCCCAGACGACGAACATTGGTCGTCGCGTACAGTTGGTGCTCGGGCAAACAGATGATAGTTTTGTTTTGCGTTTGAATAATGAGGGAAACGAATGTTCTAAAATGTCTTTATTGTTTTTGTACGAGGTTGTCTACCATGCAATATATGCGAAGTTTCGTCTAAATAAGTCATAATATATATTTTACTTTTATTCGAAAGAAAACTATGGGAGAGGTGGGTCAGGCCCAGTGACGGTGCTTCAGCGGTGTTTATTTAGACTCCGGTCGGGAGAAATGCGAACTGACTTGAGCGGTGGGGAAGTCCCAGAGTGACTTGGAGCGACCCAAGTCTCGGGGCGAAGCCAAGTGCCGGCGTTCGGAACTAGTTTATTTATTTAACGGAAAAAGAAGGTGGAATTCGAAACTGGGCCCCCCACCTTTCCCTGACATTTGACATGAGGCTGATTCCCTTCGTGGCTCTGCGAAGATGCGTCTCAGCAAACCATGCAGCAAGGCAGGGCTGCCGCCAAAAAGCCTATGCATCGCGTCGCTAATTTGCGGTTTTCGATCTTGCATTTTTTTCATTCTGGTGGCAACGCGGTTCCTTCGAAGTCGGGGGGAAATTGGTTTCGGAGGCTTTTGGTGGGTCCAGGCAGTGCCGGCTTAACTGCAGAGTGTGCTCTGACGCACCCAGGGGCTCGTCCACGTATTACGTGACTAGTCTGACAGCGAAAAACCAAGTTAGTTCGACGGCCCGACGTAACACGTGGACTCCTCGCCCTCGCCGCCACAAACACAAAGAAAGCGGTTACACTGTAGCCTACAAGCGAGCCCTGGCCCTCGCCATCACAGTCACTAAACTTAATCCACTAATCGACTAGCTTCACCAATCACTACGCTCGTTTTCACTTTGGTCGAGTGGCCCGCGTGGCCCAGACAGTGAGCAAGACAAAGACAGTACAGCACGGGCGTTGGGGTCGGTGCTGGCACTGCTGGCCGTGAGGTAGAGGTGAGACCTCGTGGGGTTCTTTTTACAGAGCGGGCACACCCCTGGAAAGCCTGGAAACCCCCGTGCACTCGACCCCCCACCGTTTGGAAGATAACAGAAATCGGTCGCCATTCAGGGAAAGGCCACGGCTGCGTTTAGGGAAAGGCTCAATCAAGGGAGCCTTGTTTCCTCGACCCGGCCGACCAGCCGACCAGCAGCGGGCGGTGCAGCGGACTGATTGTCGCTCCGTCGCTCCGTCTCTCTCGCACTCACGAGGCGCCCCGCAGGCGGGCCGCAGGGTCACTGCGAGTGCGAGAGAGACGGAGCGGCGGCCGCTAATTAGTGGAGCGGCGGAGCGAGTCCCAATAAGCGGCCAAACTAGCGTGAAAATCGGAAGGCAGCCTCGGAGTTTCTTTCCGCGAAAAAAAAAAAGCACAAAAAAAGACGATGAATGGTGTTGAGGTAAAGGGGATGGGAAGTCTCTCTTGAGCAAGTTCCATCACAAATCACCATTCTGCCAAAAGCTCGCGCTGGGTGACCTATTTTCACGCGCGTTTGCCCTGACATGCTGAAAAAAAGGGGAAAAACACCCAAAAAGTTCACTACAAAAAAAAAATCGAAGTCCAAAAATTGCTTATTGTAAATTCTCGTGGTTTATAATTATCTACAAAAAAAGCACCATTAGAGCCCATTTGAAGGCTAACTGAACAAGCGATTTCCGGTTACAGGCGGAGTCGCTTTTTTCGAGTTGACAACACGATTCTATCAAAGATAGGTGGAAGAAACAAATCGTGCGATTTAAATAGTCAAATATTGTGCACGAATCAATTACTTGGTTCTTTTTAACACGTAGAGAGAAAATAATTATTTCACACACTCGTCAATATTAGCGCTCTTCGATGATCACATTCGTATAGTCAGGTTATGCCAATATTGGTGTTTCAACAACAGAAATAAACTTCTTTTTGGAATCACTAATTAGGATTGACAGCACTGGGGGTCCTGCCTATTAAGTTTGACGCCATAAAGGGGCCTTCTTGATTAATTTTTTTCAAGTAAATAGATTTTAACAATGTCTAAACCAATATTTTTTTTGTGTTAGTTGAACTGCAAATAAGAAGTAGGGTTTGCGAGGGAACCCGGCCAGCGGTCGATCACACATTATGTACTTTTGATCCGAGTCGGTGTGGCCGGGGGAGGGGGAGGGGGAGGGGGGGAGCTATCAGTGCACGGTCCGCTGGGGCTGCAGGCTGTACCGACGGGGGTTGCGCGGCGAGCCAAGGGCGGGCGCCTTGGTCACCAAGCCCGCGGTGGAGTGCTGGCTCTGTAACGTCCCTCGGTGGCCCTGGTGGGCCCTTATACCTTGAGAGTCTCGCCGCGGCGCCGCGCCCGAGCTGGCCACCCCGCCCACGGCCGTGAGGTCCACGCCTGCGCCGATGCCCGCCTGCTCCGACGTCGGCGACCCCATGCCGCTGCTGGACACGGAGCTGCGCGACGTCGCCTTGGTCAGGGACACCGGCCGGCAGAATTGCTGCAAAGGACATGCAGGCCCTTAGTTTTGCGTGTTGCCACTACCCGCCGCCCCACAGTGGGCCAGAAGGCCGGTGGAGGCGGACAAAACTCGAGACGCGTTTTGAGCTCCAGAGTCGCTAAACAGGACTCGACCTGAAGGTGTGACCCCACCAATGGATTCCTCGTTCGGAGAGCAATCCATTGGTGGGGTCACACGTTCGGTTCGAGTCCCATTTAGCAACTCTGGAGGTCAAAACGCATCTAGAGTTTTGGCCGCCTCCACCAGTTTTCCGGCCCACTGTGCGCCGAGTCCGACCCCCACCTGCATGCGGTGCGCCACTAGCTCGGCGATCTGGCGCCGGTCCTCCTCCTGCGAGTCCCCCATGAGCGTGAGCGCGCTGTCGTTGACCTCGATGATGAACTCGCGGCCGTCCTTGTTGACCACCACCTCCAGGGCGCAGATGTCCAGGCCGCCGAACAGCTCCGACACCTCGTCGACCCACACCTTGTAGCGGTCCGTCATCTGGATCTGCTCCAGCATGGCCGAGCCGGTGTTGGTCTTCCAGTTGCCCGAGATGGACTTGCGCCTGCGCGGACACACAGTCAGAGATCGGCCGCAGTCGCAAAGCGCAAACGAAGGCCGTCGCCGGTCTCCGGCCGTGTGACGGCTAGTACTCACATGAAGGCCTTGTAGTTGGGCCCGATCTTCTGCACGTGGATGTCGTACTTGGAGTCCTGGTAGGGCTCGGTGGTGCAGTAGGTGCCCGCCACCGCCACTACGCTCGCCATGTCCTGGAAGTCGGCGTGGCTGTCGACGCGCACCTTGCCCAGGCCGCCGTGCGCGTGGCCCACCTTGAAGACCACGGGGTACTTGGGCGTGCTCAGCTGCAACAGAACAGAGGGATCGCGTCAGCAACTCACTCGCCGCCCGTTCCAATCTCGAACGCATTCCCCGCGGGCCGTGCTCGCGGGATGGAAATGTTCAGCAGCAGACTGGTTCCGGGAGTCGTTTTCGTCGCTCTGTCTTTCTCACACCTGTACGGACGCCCCACGAGTGCGAGAGAGACAGAGCGACGGAAACGGCTCTCAGTCTGCAGGAAACATATCGCGAGCACAAAGGAAGGCGAGTCCATTCGGCTGGAGTCGCTTTGGATGGAAAAGTCTGCTCTCGACTTTCACCGTCCAGCGGTCTTGTTCGGTCTTGTTGGTTTTGGGTGCCGCGCGTCGCCGCGTCGCCGCTCCATCCGCTTTCCCGCCGTTTCCTTCGGGAATTGGCGATTTCCGCCCCGCTGGGCCCCGCTGGGCGTTGTCGCTCCGTCTCTCTCGCACTCGCGGGGCGTCCCGGTCGGTCCCGGTGGGGTGCGAGAGAGACGGAGCGACCTGCTGCTGCGCCAGCACTGGGCCACGGTGTGCGCAGTTTCTAGTGTGCGCGCCGCGGCGGCTTTCCTGTTTCCTGTTTAAATTTTAGGCCTCGCCAGCCCGGCCAACCGCGAGGCGCAAGAGAATGAGAGAGACAGGGAGGGAATGTCGAGGCCGCGTATGCAGCTGTAATGACGAAGTGCGGCCCGAGGCGGTCACGCCAGAGTGAGAGAGACGAATGGCGATCCGTGAAAAATGACGGTGTACATACATAAACAAACAAACGTCGGACGCGGACAGGGCGTTGTGGAGGCTGCGCCAACGGGCCACACAAATTCTCGCCCAAGGGAGGGGGTGGGGGAAAGGGGGTGGAGGGCCCGAAAGGAGAAGGCACCTGCGGTGGGCGTGCGTGCAACCCGATAGGCCCGAACCACGTCTTAATCCTCACCGCCTCGATCACGCACGAGACACACACACACACGCACACACACACACACGGCCACCTTAATTTACCACTGATGATGGACGTTGCTAAGTCACGTTGCGGTAAATGCCGCGCGAGGTGGACGACGGGGACGAGAGGGAGAGGGGGGGGGGCGGAGGGAAGGCCATAACTCTGTAGCCAGATAGCGCGCTGGCTCCGGCTCCGGCTCTGGCTCTACCTGACCTGGCCTAGACGGCATGCATAAGGGCCCTGGCTGGTTAATCTGCATAAGTCACGGCGACTGGGTGACGTGCCGGTGACACCCCAGTCGCCGCCTTGCGCTGCCTTGCACGACGCGTGTTGTCATGACAACCCGCTGTCACCTGGGCAGACGACGCGGTACGCCCGTACCGCATGGCCTGCAGGGCGAACGGGGCGGGCACGGCGCCGCGGTCCTGGCTGCGCTTGGTACACCGTAAATCATTGCAGACGGCATCGGCCATCAGCCCCCAGGCTGGACGGGACGGGCTGGAGACTGATTCCGAGAGTCGTCTTCATCGCTCGGTCTCTCCCGCATCTATACGAGTGCGACAGAGACAGAGCGACGAAAACGACTCTCGGAATGAGTCTCTCCGCGAGTCTCTCCGTCCCGCCCCGCGTTGCAGTCCAGTGCGTCACCATGGTGACCATGGTCACCCTGAGGACGCGCCAATGCGCACGCTGCATGCTCTCTGCGAAGCCATGGCGAAGCCGAGCCCGGCCGGGTGACTTCCAAGTCCAAGGCGGTGGTCCGGGCCGCCCGGGCGAGCAGGGCGGCGTGGGCGAGGCGGTGCGTCACCCGTGCCGTCATCAACCAACAACAACACACACTGGAAACGGATCCGAGGCCGACGCCGCGACGCAGCGACGCGACGCAAGCAGAGCAGCCATCCCGTGGCAGCCCCGCCAGCCCGCCAGCCCGCCCGGGTGTTGTTCGGTGTTCTCCGAACGGGCCGATCCCCAGAAATCATTATCCAAACACGACCGAGTGTGAACGCACGCACACACGCACACACACACACGCGGCGACCTGGGGAACGAATTCCAGCGCCAGCCAACCTGCAGTAATCTCTTCCAGTGGCGCGGTGGGCGGGAACCGGACATCGGGCCGCGGGGCTGGCGCGGTAAAAAAGCATAAAACACCCCGATCAGCTTCCCCCTCCCCCTTTTCCGCTTGGAAATTAATTCCTGAAATCGCCTCCAGCGCGCTTTGCCCAGCCTCCGCAAAGCCGTCCGCGGCCCGCTGTGTCCCCGGGGGGCCCTTGACCTCGATACCGCGCGCACAGTGGGCCAGAAGAACGGCGCAGGCGGCCGAAACTCAAGACGCGTTTTGAGCTCCTGAGTCCCTGAATGGGACCTGAATCGAACGTGTGACCCCACCAATGGATTCCTCGTTCGGAGAGCAATCCAATAGTGGGGTCACACGTTCGGCTCGAGGCCCACTTAGCGACTCTGGAGCTCAAAACGCGTCCAGAGTTTTGTCCGCCTCCACCGGTCTTCTGGCCCACTGTGGCGCGCCGCGCACCGCGTCCGGAGCCCCGCGCCACCAAGAGGTCCGAGAGGGAGGCCGGAGGGGAGGCGCGTGGCTTGTTCTGGCGAACTTCTTATTTATACTTGTCCTCTCACTCAGTCCCGCTCCCGCGAACCAGCCGCGAGGGCAAGCGCCAATCTGTTTCTCCTCGCGAATCGCGTGGCGGGGCGGGGTGGGGCGGGGCGGCGCGGCCGCGAGACGCTTTTCACCCTGACGTCATGCCCGCTTCGTAGAGGCGGGGGCAATCGCGACCGGCCGGCCTGCCCAAGCCTGGCGAAGCCTGGCGGACTTCCCTCCCGCGAAGCGCGCGCGTCGCTCTGTCTCTCTCGCACCCGCGCGGCGCCCCGGAGGAGTGCGAGGGAGATAGAGCGACCACGACGGAGGCGGAGCGGTAAACAAAGTGCAAAGGCGATTTAACGACCCGGGGGAAGGTGCGGAGCCCGCGGAGGGCGGCGCCCTTAGCTACCGCCGTCGGCAGGGCGGCAGGGCAGGGCGGTGGCACGCCGTTTACGGCCGGGCCCTCAAAGGGCGCGAAGGGCGAAGGAGGGGGGATTTTAAAAGTATGAAAGAGATAAGGGGGACGAGGAGGACGAGAGGGCGTAATGGTCCAAGGGCCTCGCTCGGCCGTGCCCCGCCCTGCCCCGCTCGGTCCGGGACGAGGTCCAGGAGGTGGGCGAACTGCTTGGCTTGGCTTTGATGAATTTTAAATTTCCCGCGCCTTTTGCGAGTCCCACGCGGGACGCTGTATCCGGTCAACTAATTGGAATTACGGGAAAGGGAAGATGTGCGTTTTTATGATGCTCTGGTCAAAATACCCGTCTAAAACGAGAGGCAGCTTCGAATTGTGTTCACCACAACAATCCTCGTCCACACGCCTCTGATTGGCCAATTGATTTTGATGTTTCGAGTTTTTTTCAACAGTGTGGGGATTATTGTCACCTGTCTGACCTCCAGCTTTCGGCGCCCGGGGTGCGGAGTGCGGTCATCCTACTAAATCGCGTTGCACTTTGTGGCGCGGCGCGAGTCCGGTGGTGGGGCCCGTGGACCGCGGGGGGCGGGGCGGGCGGGGCGGGGCGGGGCGGGGCGGGGCGGGGCGGGGCGGGGCGGGGCGCGCTGAGGTTATGCTGTGGCAGGCGGCCGTGCGGTGGGCCGGGCGTGGCGTGGCGGCGTGGCCCCGGCCCCAAGCTCTGAGCCTCTGAGCGGAGCGCCGTCGGTTCAGCCTCAGTCCCCCGCGAGCGATAGTCCCAGAAGGACGGGCCGCCACTGTCAACGAGACACTCTGCGACGAGTGACGCGTCGCCTGACGCGCGAGTGACATTTCCAAAGTGACATTTCGGGAGGGACTCGACCCCCCGCGTATGGAGAGCAGCGACTGTCTTTTTCGAGTGACCTAGTGACACGTGCGGTGTGTGCATCGTGACGCGGATGGAGTCGCAGGAGAGGCGGGAGTGACAGTGAAGTGACAGTGAAGTGACAGTCGAGTGACATTGGAGTGACGCTGGAGTAACAGTCACTCCCACATGTAGGCGCGCCGAGTGCGGATTGCCAGTCAAGTCGTTGAGGCAGGTCAGTGTCACGGTTGTGTTGTGGTTCGGTCGCGACGTACAGTCACGCAAAGTCTCTTGGCGATTCTTTTTTTCGCAGTGTTGCGTTCCCTTCTTTGCAGAAGACTTGCAAGGCTGCATTGCCGCCAGCACCGCCTTCTCGTTGGGAATGTTTTTCACGAGTTTAACGATGTAAGACTATGCCATTGGATCCAGGATTAATTCCCAAGAGGCCACTTAACGTTTCATTGAAAGAAGGCCGCGAGTGGCCGAGCCGTGCCGTGCCGTGCCTTTGACGGCAAGAAGCCTTACGCCGGCAATCCGGGCAAATCCTCGCCAACCAGCGGCGCTCAAGGCGGCCAGTAAAACAAGATTTAAAAAGAAATCGAGAAGCGAACCCAGCCAGGAGCCGCGCCACTGTATACTGTATTACTCGGTCTTTGAGACTTGCAGGCCGCGCGGGGCGGCTCGGTGGCCGCCTGCCCCAGTTAATTGGTGTACCAGATGACAGCCACCCGAGTCTCCCGCCGCCCGTTCGGATTGTTTCAGAAACTTCCGCAAGAGTGCAGTCGACGTCCCTTCACTTCGGGGTTGAATAAAAATGGCGCAAGTTTTGCCCGTAACGGGAGTCGAACCGGCGACTTCGCCTCCGGAGGCGCGCGCGCAAGCAAGTGGATCACCGAGGGTGGTCACAGACAACGGATGTCTTCATCAGCTCCTTTTAGGGCGTTTAATTTTGAAGGCGGCAAGTTCGGGAGCTGCCGGCGTAGCGTCGGCGTGTCGCCTCGGGGCTGAAGAAGAACTGTCGGAGAGTTGTCGTCCGAAACTTTGTAACATGGTCACGCCGCCACGCGGCCGCAGGGCGGGCCGGGCGGGCCGGGCGGGCCGAAGCAGGCCGCGGGGCTGGAGGGAGGACCGCCGGACCGCCCCCGCCGGCCGGGGTGGGGGAGGTCGAGGAGGCCCTGGAGGTCCTCGACGTCCTCGACGTCCTCTGCAGTGGACCGCCAGGCACTGCAGTGCGGCCCGATGAGCCGAATGAGATCGCTTGGCGCGCCTCGCGAGGTGCGCAGTGCAGCGTCTCGGCCTTCCCGGCCTTCTCCGTGATGCATGCGATGCAGTGCTGCAGCGCGCCAATCACCGCAATGGCCGGCCAATCGGGGAGGCAGCTGCGGCCGCCGATGACGACCGCTTGTTGGACATGACGGCTCGGGTGGGAGCGCGGCGCTTCCGGACCGCCATACTGTAGCGCCGACCTGGCTGAGAAATCGGCTCGTTTGTATGCTCGATCCGACCTCCGTCTGCCGATGGCACGCCGTGGCGGCGAGCCGGGCGTGGGCGGGGCGCCGCGCGGGCCGCGAAAACCGTCGTCGGCCCCTCGCTGGCCCGGTGGGCCCTGCTGACACAACACGGCGGCCGGGTTCGGGCCCACGCCCCGCACTCCACACCGGGAGCCCCGAAGGAAATTTGTTGTGGAAACGAGGCAGTTTGGAGCCGTCGAAGGCGCCGAGCCCAGCCGAGCCGCGCCGAGCCGCGTGCGACAGAATTATCATGTCGATGAGCTCGTCCCCACGTGGGCTCAAACAGCATCAACCCGCCGAAAAGAAAGAAAGAAAAAACAGGAGAAAATATTGCATTTTTTGTGCGAGTACTACCAACTCTTGTGCTCGAGTAACGACGTTACTCGTTCAGCCTGTCATCGAATTGGATCGACTCGTCCGATGAGAGTGAGCTCACAGGGCTACCAACTTGCTGCGGGCTTCGGCGGGCTTGGGAATTGAACTCCCAGGAGGAGCGGAGCGATGCGCGGGGAACGGGCGGCCACCCACGGCGCCGCAAGGCGCACCTCAGAGAAGGGCCTCGCTCCATGAGGAATCCGAAGGAAATCCCTGCCATCGTCATCAGCATTCCGCGAGGTTGGCAGCTCGAGCACAGCAGGCAGTGGCGTGGTCGAAGGCGACGTGCAAGTCGGACGGAATTACCGCGGTGACGGTAACGCTTGCTTGAGCCGCGACGTTGGCGGCACTGCTTTTTCAAATAATCCGCGCGCTTCCGGCATCGTCTCGACCCGCTGCCGCTGCCACTGCGGCTGCTGACGAAACCAATTGATTTGCAACCAAAGCGAGCCGCGCCGCACTGCAGTGCGATTCCGGACGGGTCGCTCCGTCTCTCTCGCTCGCACGGGTGGGCCCGCAGGGGTGCGACAGAGACCGAGCGGTTCGGAAACAGCCTGCCGTGCGGCAAGATTTATACGCCGCGGTGTGTGATGCACAAGCCTTAGCCCCGTGTGACGTTTACTGCCTACACTGCAAAAACGGTGGCAGCCGGCAGACGCTATCGGTATCGTGAGGGAGAAAGAGAGAGAGGGAGATAGGGGGCGGCGACAAGGCGGCCGTTGTGCGGGGAGCCGCCTCGGAGATCCTGTCTCCCCGTCGCCCGCGCCCCGCGCCCCGCGCCCCGCGCCCCGCGCCCCGCGCCCCGCGCCCCGCGCCCCGCGCCCCGCGCCCCGCGCCCCGCGCCCCGCGCCCCGCCCAACCTCTTCCGTACCCCCAGCCCACCGCGACGCCGCGACGTCTCCATCATGATGATCATGAACCAGAATCATGTTCCCTCTCTCTCCCACTCCCGCGGTGCATGAGGTCTCCTAACTAGCCGGCCGCGCCGCCTGCGTCGTGCTAATTGATTTTTAGGGTCGTTGGCGAAGGGGGGTGCCTGCGCCGCCTGCGCCGCCTGTGCGCGTTTGCTGCCTCCCCCTCACGGATGTTGCCTAATATGGACGACGTTGCGTCCCCTCGCCATCCCCACTTTCATAAAGTGAATATACAATTTATTCATGGGAACCAGGCTTTTTTTGTTGCCGGGCTGGACTTTAATTATTTTATTTTCACGTACTTGTGTAACGCCGCGCCCCTTTCCCGCTGGGCCGCGCAGCGGACAGCGCAGCAGGCGCGACAACGAATTAAACTTGAAGCGGCCTTCGTTTTTGCGCTGCATTTCGCTGGGCCGCCGCCGCGAAGGGTCGACGGGAAGGGTCGACGCGAAGGGTCGACGCGAAGGGTCGACGGGAAGGGTAGATGGGAAGGGTCGACGGGAAGGGTCGACGGGAAGGGTCGACGGGAAGGGTCGACGCGAAGGGTCGACGCGAAGGGTCGACGAGAAGGGTCGACGGGAAGGGTCGACGGGAAGGGTCGACGCGAAGGGTCGACGCGAAGGGTCGACGCGAAGGGTCGACGCGAAGGGTCGACGCGAAGGGTCGACGCGAAGGGTCGACGCGAAGGGTCGACGGGAAGGGTAGATGGAAAGGGTCGACGGGAAGGGTCGACGGGAAGGGTCGACGGGAAGGGTCGACGGGAAGGGTCAACGCCGGGTCAACGGGAAGGGTTGGCGCAAGGGAGGCGGAGCGCGCCCTCCGACCTGCGATCTAGGGCCGGGAGGAGGTCGTCAAGGTCCTCGTGGAGGTCGCGACCTCGCGGCTGCTCGCAGAAAGGAATGTACGACGCGGCGAATTCCCGGCCAAATTGCCGTGTTTACTTTTCCCCTGGTTCGCCGAGCCCAGCAGAGGGCTTTCGTCGCTCTCTCTCTCTCTCTCTCTCTCTCTCTCTGGCGCCCGTGCGAAAAAACAGGGAGCGCGAGAGAGACAGTGTTCGGGGCCGCTCTGCAGCACGCTCAGCAACCGCCAGCAACGCGGGTGCGCTTGGGCGTGCGCAGGGCGTGCGTACAGCAGACGGCGCGAGGCAGGCCTGGCTGGGGCCTCGGTGGGGGCCTTGGTGGGGGCGGCGCGGAACGAGCCTCTGGACTTCAGGTTCCCAGGTCTAAAAATCCGCTACTTAGGGGTAGAATTCGCGTCCGCTTAGAACGGGATCCGCTACCCTACACCGGATCCGCTTTTATACAGGATCCGGTATCGAAGCGGATCCGGTGAGTGGTAGCGGATCCCGTTCTAAGCGGACGCGAATTCTACCCCTAAGTAGCGGATCCACTGTCATTACAGCGGATCCGGTTGTCACCACGGCGGATCCGCTGTCACCACAGCGGATCCGGTTGTTACCACAGCGGATCCGGTGTCACCAAAGCGGATGCGGTCACCACAGCGGATGGCCTAAGCGGATCTTTTATGATCTTAGTGGATCCTCTGAGCAAACATGAAATCTTTATTTGGAAAACTACCAAAGGGATTTGAATTTTGAAAAGTGAACTCCTGCATAATGAAACCGAGTCCGATCCAAATCTGCAATCCGTTTCTCGCTATCATCAGCGGTTTACAAGATAGCGATATCAAGTTGTTCGATTGCAATGAAATTCAAATGGCCCTAGTGAATTCTCTTCAATATACCCTGTATAAATTTTGAGGTCAAAATTCCTAAAACTGTGGAGTTTGTAGCCACTTCATTTTGGAAAACTCACAGTGGATCCGCTTAGGTTAGTGGATCCGGTAAGCGCTCAGTGGATCCGGTATTGCTCTAAGGGATCCGGTATGGCTTAATGGATCCTGTACTCACCGGATCCTCTCCTCTGCGGATCGTAGAGGATCCGGTGTGGCCCAAGCGGATCCGCTGTGACCCCATAGAGGATCCACTAAGCACTTAGAGGATCCACTACGGCCGCAGTGGATCCCGTAAAGTCGCAGCGGATCCGCTCCAACCAAACCGGATCCGCTGTCAACAGAGCGGATTTTTAGACCTGGGTTACAGCACATACAACATGAAAGAGAGGGAGCCGAGCAAATCGAAAATTCCTGTAGCCCTGCGCTGCGCGCCTGCGTGCCGCGTGGCCTTGGAGACAGACGCAGCCCCAAGCTCCAGGCTAGGCTCCAGCTACAGCCCCCAGCCAAGCCCTTGCCCAGAAAGGGACTGAGTCATGAGGGTATCTCCCTCGGCGGCGGCGCCGCGTCGCTGCAGCGTCCGGCACATGATCGCCACCAGGCCGAGGGCCGCCGAGGGCCGCCGAGGGCCCGGGGGCAGCGAGCCGTCATGGCGCGGATGGCGACGGCCTGCCGCGGCGCGGACAAGCAGGCCGTGGCGCACAAAGACGCCTTTCAGCGCCGCCAGTGCCCCAGCCCCTCCCAGTAGGGCAACAGGGCGAACGGAGGTCCGGGGCGGGGCGGGGCGGGGCGGGGCCGTGACCTGCCTCCTTTTTGATGTTACAGGACCCGGCGACGGCTGCGGGCAAAGACCAGCAAAGACCGTGCAAGAAAGCACCCGGCGCGAAAAAAAAAAGCCAGGCCCCATCGAGGGTTTCGAACCTGAAACCTTCGATCCGCAGCGCCAGGTCGCTGTGCGCTGAGCTAACGAGACGCGTTACTTTACAGGATGGCTGCCGCGCTCCAATTCCAGGCCTGGCTGGGCGTGCAAGCCTGGTTGTGGCTGTGCCTGCTCGTGGCCCTGGGGCCGCGCCTGGCCCACGGCTGCATGTGCGCCTTCACGCACCCCCAGGAGCAGTACTGCCGCGCCGATTTCGGTGAGTCTTTTCATTCCGGGGGTGAAGGGAGGGGGAAGGCCTCTCTGCATTATGCAGACGGCTGCCCTCCGTGGCACGCGTGGACGCGCGGACGCGGCAAAGAGGAGAGAGGGCCGCCACCACCGCGCCATGCCGCCACGGACCGTGACCGTGCCGACGGCCGTGCCACCGTGGCGACCCGACGGACTAAATGGTTGCCATTAGGAGTGTTTCCTTGGCAAACACTGCTCTGTTTACCCGCGGAGATACGCCCTCGCCCCGCAGCCTCTCTCTCTCTCCCTCCCTCACACACACATGGACACTCACTCGAAAAAGGCAACACACACGCACGCAACACCCACGTCACTCTATCCGTCTAATCCGTCTATCCGGATTAGTTTTCATCTCTTGCAGCTGCTCTAGTAGTGCCCCTTCCTCCCCTCCCCCCAATTGAATGTCAATGCCGGCCAAGCTGCCAACAGGCTGTGCATGTGTGTGTGTGCGTGTGATGGTATGGCGGGAATCCTTGCTGTTGCGCCCCCCTCCCCCCCCCCTCCCCTATCACACACGCCAAAGGCACCCCGCCATGCGATGCGTGAATCCAGCTGGCGAGGAAGGCCAGTCACTACAAACATTACCCCCCCCCTCCTCTCTTCCCCTCCCGTCCCGAGGGGACACCGACTCCCCTTCCCCCTCCCCTCCCCCGCTCTGTGGCCCATCACACAGCGCCTCTCACGCATTCAACAACTTCGGCTTTTCACCATATTCCGACTGGTTCTACACGCGCACTCGCACACCTTGCAAATGGGGTAGTCAAACTTTTCGTGTTCGCCTGGGTGTAGTATGCGCACACACGCACACACGCCCCCACTCGCGGTAGGTGTGTGCGTGTGTGTGTGTGTGCGTGCGTGTGTGAAGTGCGCTCCTGGGTGAGGGGCAGGCCGGCAGGGTGAAGCCGCCGATTCATTACAACTCGCGCTTCTGCTTCCCGATGCGGTTTCCGTTTTCTCCAGTTGGAGGCACGAGATGGTACACTGGTGTGCAAATCCCACGCAAGAAAACAACAACAACAACAACAACATGCCCGTCATTCACTCTGGCTGGCGCGGACGCGGGGTATCGCCGGCCGATAGTGCCTTTCGCCGTTTCGCTTTGGCGTTTCGCTTGCATTATTTCGCGGTTCTGACAGTCGTCTCAAGTGTCCCGGCCGCGTGGCGGGGCGTGGCGGGGCGTGGCGGGGCGGGGCGTCCATTACTTCAAAGTGTGCTCCTTGCGTAAACTGACCGGCCGACCGGGGCAAGCCCAGCAAGCAAGACCGACCGGCCAAACCGATGCTACCTATTTTTAGCATCTTTTGCGCGAAGGCGCGAAGCGTTGGCGGTGCAGTCCCTTCGGACTTCGTGGCTCGCGGGGCTTCGCGGGGCTGGGCTGCCCCGACAACAGCAGTACTAATGGGCAACCTCCACGGCCGGCCCGAACTTGCCACTGCGATTCGAACAATGGCCTTGCCAGAGCCAAGCAGCCGACGGACCGCTGTACCAGCAGACTGAATCCGAGAGTCGTTTTCGTCGCTCGGTCTCCCTCGCACCCACGCTCCATGAGCTCCATGAGTTCGAGAGAGACAGAGCGACGAAAACGGCTTTCCGAATTAGTCTGCTGGCTGCACTCGCACAAGAGGCGCCTCTCCCGAGTGCGTCCTCGTCGTGGCGCTCGTCGGGGCGCGCGGCGCGGCCGGTCTTTGATCCCTACACAAGTTCCGGTCACTGCCCGGAACAGGAGAGCGACCTAGCACTCTCTCGGGGCTTGCTTCGAAGCGTTTGCGCGTATCTCTGTCTATCTGTCTGCCTGTCTGCCCGTCTGTCTGCCTGATCGCTAGACACGGCGAGGGTGGTGAGACCGCGGCCGTAAGTTTATGAAACTCGTGTGACGTTCCCTGTCGGCTGCTCTGCTCCTGCGAGCACCCCTTCCTCCCCTAGCCGACTCTGAACGGCGCCGCACAGCGCACTGCGCGGGTTGAGTTTCACCAACTCGCCGAACCGAGAAATTGTTAGACAAGGCCAGTGGAGCGCGTAGCGCAGCGCGGAGGCGCGGCGGGTATTCGAACCCGGGCCCGCCGCCGCTCCGAGCAAGGTGTCGCGTCCGCGGTGTCGCCAAACCGTCGCGCCGTCTCGCCGTCTCGCGGTGAAAGCGCCCGGAAACGGGCGTCACTCGAGTCCGGATTAGAATCGCTCCAACTCTTTTCTTGTGCGTTTGCCGTTCGCCGCGTCGCCCCTCGACGGCGACGTCCCGGCGTCCCGGCGTCCGCGACGGAGGTGGACTAATTTCCCAAACAGTTGTTGTTCTTGTTGTTTTTGTTGTTGTTGTCGAGCGCCTCCGCCTCCGCCGCCCGTTCGGCTAGGCAGTCGAAACCCAAAGAGGAGGATAAAAATAAAAATACCAAGCGTCGCTCAGTCTCTCACGTTGCCGCGGGGCCGCCCCTGGTGCCTCTGGTGCAGCGCCCGTCGCGACCACTCCTCGCCTCTTTTTGTCCCCCCCCCCTCCGACTCCCTCTGGAAACAGGGGCAGGTGCGAGACGCGCTGATCGACTGTGATTTCCTGACGCCGTCCCGCCATGGCATGGCCCGGCATGGCCCCGCCCGCGGGCACCCGTCGAACCGCCGAGGGTTCCCCCGGGACTCTGCTGGTCCCGCTTGGTGACTCGAACAAGTTTGATTGACCCCCTCCCCCTCCCCCTCGTCTATATATACCTCTGGAAAAGGGCGTCCGTTGGAAAGGGCCGCCATTGTACATTGTACCCGCGAGCCGGCGTGCGAGTGCCCAGCGCCAGCCAGCGCCAGCCAGCGCCCCTGCGAGGTAGGCAGCCGCGGCCGCTCAGCACTCGGGTGTCGCGCGGTGCTGCCTACCCCGCGTCTCGCAGGCGCTAGGGTGGCGGCGGTCAAAATCCCGGACGCGTTTTGAGCTCTAGAGTCGCTGAATGGGACACGAAAAAAACGTGTGACCCCACCTATGGATTGCTCTCCTAACGGGGAATCCATTGGTGGGGTCACTCGCTCGATTCAGTCCCATTTAGCGACTCCGGAACTAATGCGTCTAGAATTTTGCCCGCCTCCACCGGGTTTCTGGCCCACTGTGCGGGACACTGGGGCTTGCAAACAGACACCGCCATTTCTTCGCGGACGAGGCGGAATGCCCCCACCGCCCCGCGGGGCCCCGTCGCCGGGAAGTCCTCGCGCCTCGGAGGAGCCGGCCAATGGTAATAATCCCACTTTGAATAATCATCGCGTCTTCCTCGAGTCCCGCAGCCCCGCCGGCCGGGTCGGCTGTCATAACCAGCGGAGGGGGCGGGGGCGGGGAGGGGCAAACTGTGCCATAAGCGCCGCGGAACACAGTAGGCAGTGTCGTTGACGATTAAAACGCGCCGCCCACTGACCGCCCAGAAAAGGCGCGAGTGTCATCGGCGAGGTGCACGGAAGCAAGCGCGCCTCTCCGACCCGTGCGCCGTCTGAGTGTCTGACCGTCTGACCTTTTGACCGCCTTGTTGCAGCGGTGCTGGCCAAGATCATCCAGGTCAAGGACGAGGGTGACTACTTCAGGCGGTACGAGGTGGCCGTCAAGCGGACCTTCAAGGTGAGCGTCAACGGCCAGGGCGACGCGGCGACGCACAGTGGGCACGCAGGCGGTTAAAATCCCGAACGCGTTTTGAGCTCCAGAGTCGCCAAATGGGAGTCGAATCGAACGTGCGACCCCACCAATGGATTGCTCTCCGAACAAGGAATCCATTGGTGGGGTCACACGCTCGGTTCGAGTCCTGTCTAGCGACTCTGTGCTCAAAACGCGTCTAGAGTTTTGGCCGCCTGAGCCGGTCTTGTGGCCCACGCGACGGCCAAAGCAAACAATGTGCAAAGCTAATCCGGCGCTCCTTGTCGGCCCCCAGGGTGGCCTCGAGGCGCGCATGCTCATCAAGGAGGCCGGCGTGGTGGCGTCCTCGGTGGACAGCATGTGCGGCGTGACCCTGGACGAGGGCGAGAGCTACCTGCTGATGGGCCGCGTGTACGACGGCCAGCCCAGGGTGTCGCTGTGCGACTTCCCCACCCCCTGGCGGAAGGTGACGGTACGCCAGCGGAAGGGGCTGCGCCAGCAGTACGAGGCCAGCTGCAGTTGCAAGGTAGGCTAGCCGCGCGGGTTGCGGCGTTAACTCCGGGATCGAGAGACCTGGGTTCGAATCCTCGCACAACGGCTTTTTTTACGCGCGCTTTTTGTGTTGCAGCCCCGGGACTGCCCGTGGTGGGGCGGCTCGCACCGCGCGGAGAGCTGCTTGATTGCCCACTCCGTGTGCACCTCGCACCGCAGCGCGCTCCACAAGGACCTCAAGGGCCACAAGCAGCAGCGCTGCAACTGGCTGCGCGGCCGCGTGCTGGACGACTGCCTGCGGGGGGCAGGCATCGCCAACGTGGAGGCCGAGCACTCCTGGTGGCTGCACAAGCAGCACAAGCCCCTCGACAAGCACAAGCACCCCGAGAAGCAGGACGGCGGTCCCGGGCACACCAAGCAGGAGAACCTGCCCGAGCTGGAGGAGTTCCCTGTCGACCAGGGCGCCGCCGCGCCCGGGCCCGACCCTTGAGGCCTCCCGCCGCACTGGCCGGGTGGCCACCCTATAACCGCCGAGGTGGAAGGTGGCCACCCTACTTCCCTTCCCCAAGAGGAGGCGGGTTCACCCGGCGGTGGTTTGCCGATGGCTCGGGGAGTAGCCCGGCTAGCCGGGGCCGATAAAATAACCATTAAAGATAAAAGCAGCGCCCTCCAAACGACGCGCCCCGCCTTGTCCAGGAAGGCGTCATCCTCATCGAGAAGGCGCGTCGAATACCGAAAGTCTAACCACTTCCCAGGAAGCTTCCGCGCGACTCCCACACTGCAAAGACTTTGCCCAGGAGCGCGTGCCACCGGACACAGCCCGCGTCCGTTTTATTTTTGTACAAACTTTTACGTGTAGAGAGAACTAAAACGTGTAAATACCACCAACTCGCCAATAAACCCATTCTCCGCTGTCACTCACCATTTCCCTGTAGTTGGGGTAGAAGGTCTGCTCGATGAGGGGGAAGTTGTCCTTGCCGAGGCGCCGCTGCAGCTGCAGCAGGTGGCCGAACACCCACGGCTTGTCCTGCAGCACACCATCAACACCATCAACACCGTGGACACGACGAGGGCCGCGAAGGCCATGTACGCGGCCGTCAGCGCCAGCACCAGATGAAACACAAACACGTGGCGCCGCGGCCGGGCGGATTACGTCTGTCTCTCTCGCACCACGGCGGGACTGGGAGTGCGAGAGAGACAGGACGACGGGACCCAATAAAGTGGATCAGGCGCGTCGAACCAAAATGGCCGGGTGGAGTGACGTGTGAACCAAATTAGCTATTCGTCAGACGATAAAACAGGGAGTATCTCGCAGCAGCAGCGCGAGGCGCGAGTAACATTTACTGCGGGGATGAGGAGGCTACGCTTTTCGGAACGGTGTGGCTGGTACACAAGGCAAGGCCTGGCGGCGCCGGGGAGGCAGGCAGCCACACAAGCAGCCAAGCGCTCGGTGCGCCTACGCCGCCGGCGCTGCCGCCCGCTCTGTCGAGAGCCGCTTGGAAAAGAAACCAGCTTACGCGGGTTTACCGCGCAAAGTGGCCCGACTCTGCAGCGGCTTCAAAGGTATCGCGGTTTCAAGGTTTATCACGCAGCGCGACGCAGCGAGTCCCTGCCGCGAGGACGCGGCCACGGCCCCCGAGACTCACCTGGAAGTTGTACACGGCGTTGATGGAGTTGACGGAGGGGATGCCGCCGAACTTGAGCCCCAGCAGCACGTTGACGAAGTTCTCGCCGGCGTCGCGCAAGTTTTGACGAATCAGAAGGAAATCGGGCCTGAAGGACCTGTGGGCGAGACAGATTGGAGAGCAGATTTAGACGCCCTCTTCGTCTCGACGGTCTGGACACGCGGGATGAGTCATTTCCGGTCTTAATGGGGCGTGGCGGCGTGGCGGAGTGACGGCTCACCTCATTACTTTGGTGCCGTTCCTGTAGACCGCCATGCTGACCTGGCAGCCCGTCTCCACGTTGGCCGTCAGCGACAGCTCCCTGAACTCGGCCTGCTCCACGCGGATGTCCCAGTCGCCGTGCAGCCTGCGCCCCCGGAAGTACTTGGACCTGGCGGCAAAGAATTCAAAATAAGTCAATTTTAACATTGTTTCAAGTGTTTTTGTTCTCGAGCAGCTCAGATGAAACTACACACGTGGCTGGCCTGGGGCAACTCGAAGCCGATTTATGGCGTGGGCAACCGACCGAGTGGAAGTGCGAACAGAGGAGGTGGGGGTCGCTACAGGGCAGGGCCTCCCCGACCTCCCCCAGGGCAGCTCGGCGGCACTGTACCACCACCACCGGCCTGTCCGGCCTGTCCGGCCTGTCCCCGCGTGAGGAAGTGCCCTCATAGCACTGGACTAGCTGGCTGCCTGGCTGGCTGCCTGGCTGGCCGGCTGGCCTGGGGGCCAATAAGAAGGAGCCAAGCACTGCCGTGTTTCTCGTTTCTCCGCCTTCCACCAAGCCGTTTTCCAGCCCACGCCTTCCCCCACCCCCGGCCCGGCCTCCCCTAAACCGAGCCCAGTGGAAGGAACACGCCCCGGGGGAGGCTGGCTGCCCCGTCTGGCCGGCTGGCCGACCGGCCGGCTGGCTGCCTTGGCTGGCCGCCTGGTGCAATCCGGAGTCCGGGCGTTAATGAGGAAGCAGTCAAACACTTGGCGACTCGGGGAGGAAAGGGAGGAAAAAGCACCGAGCAGCGCGTCATGCAAAACACCTGTAGCCGACGACGGTAACGACGACTGGCGAGGGGCCGGACGGCCGGACGGAGCTGGCAGCCACGCCGGCGGCGGCAAGAGTTACAGCGGCCTTATGCAAAGGAGCGGCGTGTTGTTAATATTTAATATACAATTCCTAATCTCCGCCGCCCTCTGCCTCTGCTTGTAGCGGGCCGGCGTGATCTCGGTCGTAAAAGGCCCGTCGGCGTCCTGCTGCCGCCAGACTGATTCCGAGAGTCGTTTTCGTCGCTCCGGTCCCTCTCGCTCTCATGGGGCGTCCCGAGAGGGGCGAGAGAGACAGAGCGACGAAAACGACTCTCGGAATCAGTGTGCAGCGCCAAGCCCCGCCGCCGTCGCGGTCAATTTGGCGAGGGGTGGCGACACCCCGAACCAGTGCACCACCACCCTCCATCGCCAAAGACCGCCACAACCACCGCCGCCTGACCAGTCCATCCGGGCGCCGGCCAGCAGTCGCAGCCCGCGTCGCTCTGTCCCTCTCGCGCTCCAGGGGCGACCCCGCAGGGTGCGAGAGAGACAGAGCGACGGCAGGGCTGTTCGGCCCCGGCCAGCAGGCAGCAGCCCTAAAAGAGGTAATGGCATTAACAGCTGACAAGACTCCGCGGGGAAGGGGCGCGGAGAGGCGGAGAGCGAGAGGGACAGAGAGAGATGGACGAACTGCTTCCTCTTTTAACGGCCAGACTGCGACGACGGACGACGGACCACGCCCGTCTCCAACAAGAAGCACCGCCACGCCACTGCGAGAAAACGGCGGGAGATGAGAAATTGCTCCAGCCCTCTTCCGGCGCGCTTCACAAAAGGCGTATGTTTCCTTTCTTTCGGCAGCGTCGTCTAAAAGAGAATTTCACAGAGCGAAGGAGAACAAGGCCGCGTACTCTGCCGCGGCGGTGTTTTTGCTTTCTTTCCTCGCAGTGTGAGGGCGGCCGGATTGGGGAGGATGGTCGTATAGTACTGCGCGGGGGTGGGCGGCCGGGCTCCAATCCGCGAATCACAATCCCAACAACAACAGCAACAACAAGAGCGTTAAGAGCGACAACGCAATCTACTGGTGCAGATAACGCCCCATCGAGTTATCGAGTCTGACTGCACAGTGCATTCTGTTTGGCCCGCGTGCAGCCTGCATTATTTGCCACTCACACCACACACACACACACACACACACACACACACACACACACACACACACACACATGCGGCTCTTCCGGTCATCACATTATCCACCCCCGAGTCGACCGCTGCGCTGGGTGGGCCAGTGCACTCACCAGTCGGTGTTCTGGTCGTCGATGACGAGCAGCGTGAAGCACCGGTCCTTGTTGTAGGACGGCCTGACGGCGTTGGCGGCCGACACGGCGGTGCCGAGGATCTGCGAGCCGTGCTCCTTGGCGACGCCGGTGAGCGACTGCACGCGCTGCAGCAGCGACTCCCTGGTCTTGGCGGGCGACGACGGCGCCGACGTCGTCCTGGAGTTGGGCCGCAGGTTCAGCGAGTCTGGCGGCTGGCCGGCGGCTCCCGGGGGCGCTCCCGCGGCCCCAGCGGGGGCGCCTGTGGGGGGCGGCCCGCCCCCCGCCGCCGTCCGCGGGGGCGCGCCGCCGGGAGGGGCCCCGGCGCCAGGGGGGCCCGCCCCCGCGGCCCCCGAAGGATCGGCCGGGTAGCCGCCGGCCTCACCCTCGGGGCCATCGAGCTCGGAGGAGAGGTCCCCCGAGGAGAACCTGCCGAGAGAGAGACAGGGGTAAGCGGGCTGGAAGGGCAAGAGCGTCGGACAGCTAAGGGCCCAGTGTTGCAGCGAAAGTTATTTCCAAGATGCGCTAGTGTCGGAAGAGTTACTGGGGTTGGCACCCCCACCGGCTGGTGTTGGTGCATCGTGGTAACTTTTTCTTGGTTTCGTGGCAACACTGGAGCGACAAATCAAACGTCTGAGGCCTCACCTTCGTTTCAGGTAATTGACATTGGTTGTGAAGGATTGTTTGAAGCTGGAGAAGGAAATCTTGGTGCTGTTCTGGACACGAAGTCACGAGGCTGAGCCGGCTCAGGCCGCACTCTGCAACACAAGAAGAAGGGCATTGATTATCATAAAAACACAAACTTGGCAGCTGTCGGTCCAAATTGTTTTTGCTGTCTTTTGTGTTGTTTTTTTCTCTTTCTGGTACGTGAGACGCATGAGACCACCGTTCTCTGTGGTCGGACTGCGGACCGTGGGGAGGCCGGGGGCGCAAGGAATGCCCCCCTGCGGCAGCACCTTCACGCCCCGCCAAGGTGCCCAACGCCTCCCCCGCGATCAAGGCCGAAAAGCACGCATTGTTGCCGATATCCCCTCGCACCGCTGCGACGGTTAGGTTAGGTTAGGCCACGCCACTGTAGCGTGAGCCGCCAGGCCAGACGCACCACCATAAAAGCGGGAACACAGTTCGGTCACGCAGGCCCGGGCCAATAACGCATACTCAAGGAAGGCATAACCACCCCGGGCGGGCCACACGCCGCGCAGCCCTAGCGCGGAGTGAGTGAACCATTCGCTTCGCACCCTCCCTCGCCTTGTCGCCCTTTGGGGGTGAATACGACGCACAGTGGGCCAGAAGACCGGTGGAGGCGGACAAAACTCCAGACGCGTTTTGAGCTCCAGAGTCGCTAAACGGGACTCGAACCGAGCGTGTGACTCCACCATTGAATTCCTCGTTCGGAGAGCAATCCATTGGTGGGGTCACACGTTCGTTTCGAGTCCCTTTCATCGACTCTGGAGCTCAAAACGCGTCTAGAATTTTGTCCGCCTCCACCGGTCTTCTGGCCCACTGTGCGACGCACTACTTGTTCAGCGGGTGTGGGGCCTAAGGGAAGGGGGGGGGGGCAAGCGGGCTCGGCTCAGGTGGAAGTAGGTCGACTGCATCGAGGCAAGTGCAGCGCAGGCATCAGCATTCAGCAGTCAAGTGCCTGCCGCCCACTGGCTTCCGGCTGACTGTCTAGTCTGCAAGTGTCCGCCCCGCCACTGCCTGTCCGCCGCTCCCACTCGCCCCTCGCCCCACTCTAACCAACTTGACGCCGCCCTACTCGGGGTTGCGGTCTGCCGCTGGGGGAATGGGGAATGACGGATGTCACAGCTTGATCGGGGACGTGCAAATCAAAGCGGATTCCACACTGCAAAATTGAAATGAACGACGGGAATGCATTTCGGACGGGGCAGGATGGAAAGCTCACGCCCGGAAAATGCAGCGCGTAGCATGCACGGTCGACAGTGGGCTAGAAGACCGGTTTTGAGCTCCAGAGTCGACAAGCATGACTGAACATGAACGTGTGACCCCATCATTGGATTCCTCGTTCGGAGAGCAATCCATTGGTGGGGTCACACTTTCGGTTTGATTCCCATTTAGCGACTCTGCAGCGCAAAACGCATCTAGAATTTTGGCCGCCTCCACCGGTCCTCTGGCCCACTGTGGCATGGTTGTCTGCACCGAGCTTGCGGGTCGGGGGTGCTGGAGCAGGACAACGAGAGGGTCCTGCTGGACGGCCCGACGAGTGCATTCAAGCAACAGATGCAGGAGGGCGACGGCGCGGGGGAGGGGGCTGCTTGGAGGGGGCCTGCTTGGAGGGGCGCGGGCGGGGCACGGCGCTAGCACACAGTACTACTACTACAACCATCCCTCCGCGCCGCCGCGCCGCCGCGCTCCCGTGAACTCGAACTCAACAGCGGCTCGGCATGGGCGGCATGGGCCGAAGCATGGGCCTGGGGATGAGGAGGGTGGGGCAAGGCAGGGCCAGGCAGGGCCGGGCAGGGCGGATTCAGACGGTAGAAGGGGGTTGGCACTGGGCTATCGACCCCTCCTGCACCCCGGCAGGGCCCAGCCAGCCCAGCAGGCCTCTCTCTCTCTAACTCCGGCCGCTCGGGCCCCAACCCCTTAGGCCTGCGGGGCCCCTCGCCCCCCACTCCCCACTTCCAGCCCCCTCCCCTCTCGGGGGGCTGTTCTCGGAAACAGCGCACCAGGGCGGAATTCGCTGGATGCCCCTCTCTCTCGCTCCGATTGTAAAAGCAGGCCGGCGACGGAGACGCGACACTGTGCACGCCCAACGCACTTCGCACACGGCGCCGCCCCCCGCCGCCCCCACACGCCGCCACCATGGGGGGCGGGGGCTGCTACCGCTAGGCTTGCTGAGCCTCCAGGCCGCCGCCGTCACCGCCCGTGTGACCCAAGGCGGGCCGCCAGCCACAGACAGCCAAATGTATTCTCTTTCCGTAGCGTCCACCTAAGTGGTCGCACGTCCCGGACCGTCCCCGACCGTCGCGGCCCGGCCGAGGAAAGGAGACACATTTGTTGCCACCTTATTTCAGTCGAGACCGCCAAGGCGGCGAGCGTGCGGCTTTTCCTGTTGACCCGCCAAAAAACGGTTAAAAATTCAATTTAAAAAAGGTTAAAAAATCATCAACTTCATTTTCAATGCTGCTGGATGGATTCTGTGTAATCTGCCTATTTCCCCGCCCTCGATCCCTCCAGCATTATATTTTAATCTCTGCGAAATGAAAGTTTGACACCTGTTTTTCTCTCAGCCCCAGGCCCAACCCCGCCCGCGCCTTGATGCGTTTGCCCGATAATGAGTTACGTGTATTGAATTAGTAAAAGAAATGTTGTTTTTCGGTTTCGTCTTTTTTGTTGCGTGTCACGCGCGGCGTGTGGCAAGACGAGGGGCGCACGTTAAATTGGCGCGGCGCGGCGGGGCGGGGCCGTGTCGGGCCGGCATCGAATTATGTATCACCAGCTTGGCGTGTTCGCGGGGGAAGGGAACGGCAAGGTGGCGAGGAAATGCCAGGAAACGTGAAGACGGGAATTCTACAGAAAGAGTGGGGTAGGCATAAAAGGAGACAATTTCCAGCCTTCGGGCGGCCTCTGCGTCCATCCTCGTTGCGGTCAGAGTACTCCCGTAAATAGCAAGTGCAGCGACGAGCCCCACACTGCAAGTCACGCAAGCCGCCTCACAGTGGGTCAGAAGACCGGTGGAGGCGGGCAAAACTCTAGACGCGTTTCGAGGTCCTGAGTCGCTAAATGGGACTCGAACCGAACGTGTGACCCCGCCAATGGATTGCTCTCCGGACGACGAATCCATTGGTGGGGTCACACGTTCAGTTCGAGGCCTGTGTAGCGACTCTGGAGCTCAAAACGCGTCTAGAGTTTTGTCCGCCTGCACCGGTCTTCTGGCCCACTGTGCGCCTGGAGGGTAGGTTGTCCCGCATGCGGCCCTGTCGCCGGCACAGCATAGCCAGGGGCCACGGGCTGATTCCGAAGAGCGCTTCCGTCACCGCTCTGTCTCCGTCGCACCCCCACGGGACACCCCCAGAGAGCGAGAGAGACAGAGCGACGAGAGCTCCGTTCGGAATCAGCCTGTTGGGGATGACCGACCTCGATGCTAAATGCATGGGGCCGTCGTGGGGTTCCCGGCACGTCGCACCATCAGTGCACTGCCCTACGTCAAGGCGTGGTCAAAGCAGTCAAGGCACAGCAAGCTGAGAGTCGTTTCGTCGCTCTGTCTCTCTTGCACTCATGGGGTGATCCGTACAGGTGGGGGAGGGACAGAGCGACGAAAACGACTCTCGTTCCGCAGGGCTGCTGCTGCTTTTCTCTCTTTCCCTACTTGGTGGACTTTAATTTCGGCGGATGCTCACCCCACCACACTGCACACGCTCCCCGCGGCTCTGCTGCCGCGACGTGTCTCCGGCCGTCCTTCCCCCGGCAACAAGGACAACAAGCTGAGCAAACAGGAAGGCGAGGGGGTATGCGCTCTCTGAACCTGTGTACCGACTATTACGCTATTACGCTCTATTACGCCACAAATTAATCGGAATTTAGCTAAAAACGGCCTAAAACACACCAAAATTGATAAAATTTTGACATTTTCGGCTATTACGCGACTATTACGCGTATTATTACGCGTGCTATTACAGATAGAGTGAACCGACTATTACGCGAGTGCATACCCCCTCGCAGGAAGGCTTCTCGGCGTCGCAAACTGTCGCTCCGCATTTACACCTCTTCGGGGCCCTGCCTTGCCTTGCTGCTGCGTCGTCGTATTTCGCCCTTTGGGTTGGTACCACTGTGTCGCTCCCACACTGTTCCCTCGCGGGCGGAGCATCGGGCGGGAATAAACTTGGGCTAGAACTTTGGGTCAATGCCGCGATGTGTGTACGGCATGCCGGTCGGAAAAGATCTGATACCACCACTGCCATTATCGCCAACCCATTGGAACAGGCTCGCTTGTTTTTATCTTGATCTTTCCAGCCATTAGGTCACATTAAGCCATTCCGAAAATGGGACAAGTAAAGCTGCAGAAATTATTTATTCAAATATTTCCCCCGGTAAAACTTTTTACTTTTCGCAAAGTATGCCAGGCGTCCAACCCCTCCTCCCTTGTGACCGGCCTCCGCATTGTTCCCGCAGCGCCTCTCCAAAGGCCCCGAAAGACCCGCACCCTCTCTCCTTCTCCTTGTTGCGCCTCACCGCCCAGCACCCTGAGCACCTGCCTGGAGGTCCATGCCGCCGAACAGACCCCCCCCCCCCCCCCGCCTCCTTTCACTCCGGTCATGTCGTCGTCGTGTAACAGCGCAGAATACATCGAGCGGCCGGCCTGGACGACAGCGGGCTTCATTTCAGATTGGCCCGACGGACAGACACACAGACAGTCGGGCGCTCACGTTTCTAAGCACGGCGTTAGAAGATCTCGCGTTTCAAAGCGAAGTCGCCAACCAACCGGCCGGCTTTTGCGCGCCTCTGGCCGGGCCACCGAATCGGGGACCAAACCCAACCCAACCCGCAGTTCAGTTCAAAGTCCAAACCGGCGACAGGATCATCGGCAGGGCGGGATCAAGGGGTCCCCCGTCGGTCTGTCGGGTCGCGCCGTGTTCCCTTGTTCCCCTGGTTCCGCCCCCTCCCCCCCACTCCTAATTACGCGACAACTTCCTCCCCAATCTGACTCGGAATCGCATTAAATTCCGCCGCCGCCCCCCGGGCACGCCGTGGCTGCCGTGGCTGCCGTGGCCCGGGCCGCGGTCGGGGCCGCCAGGAGGCACTCCGCCGAGCCTGCACTCTACAACAATATTAGCCCGGCCTCCGGCCCCGGGCCCGCCTTGCCCCCCGGCCTGATGAAATCAAAAGCGCCTTCTAAATGACATCCAGTTACTGCTGCGCACTGCTCCGTCTCTGTCGCACTCATTGGGCGTTTTTATGGGTGAGAGAGAGACAGAGCGACGAAAGCGACTCTCGGAATCAGTCGGCTGGCAGCGCCGTTCGCCGCGACCTGCCCCGCTGATGTCGCCGGCCGCGTCAGGGGCCAGCTTCCGTCCGGCTGGACCAGACCAACCTTGTCCAGAAGAGGATTACATCCGGTTCGGCCCTTTCCCGAGTGCAGGCCGCAGGGCGCCGAGTGCAGGCGGCAGCATGGCGGCCTCCATGGCGGCGAGCCGCGGCGAGCACGGCCCCCTAGGTGCGCGTGCACGTGGCGGTGCCGCCATGGAGGCTGTCATGGAGGCCGTCATGGAGCCCACTGCCGCCAGGCGCGGTTCTCCCTGAGGAGCGCTTTGCTTACACTACGGTTTTGTTTCTTGAAAGCATGTTTCTTCCTGGTTGAGATTAATTTTCTACTTTGTTCGTATTTCCACCGACAACTGCCGGGCTGGTCATCGACCCCCACGACATCCCCGGCGGTCCATCCGTTGGGTGCATCCATGAGGAAAAGGCCGTAACCCAGAGGGCGGCCCCCCGCGCTGCGAGGTCGCCGTCGACTCCGCCTCCACACTCACCTGGTCCACCGCGCGGTCCGCCGGCAGGCAGCGAGACGTCGGGGTTGGCGGTGGCGGGGCGCGGCGCGGGGCGCGGCGCGTCGCGGGTACGGCGGGGGCGGGAGTACCGGTAGGAGGGCGCGGGGAGTCCGTCGGCGGAGCGGCGGAGCGGGGCGCACGGAGCGGAGCGCGGAGCGGACAGGGGAGGATGACGACGACGCGGAACACCTCGCTGCAGAGTCCAGAGACCGACTGGCCCTACCCGCCCTGGCGGTGGCGGTGCGCGGTGCGGCGGGCGCACCCCGGGGCGGGGCGGCTCGAGGGGCGGCGGGCTGGGGGCGGGCTGGGGGCGGGCCGGGGGTGGGCCGGGGTGTGCCGGGCCGGGGGCGCACCGGGCGCTGCGGGGGCGGCCCAATCGATAGCGACCCGCCGCCCCCGCCGCCCCCGCGGCCCGCCACCCCGTCTTCGCGCCCGCCGCCACTCCCTCCACTCTGTCTGTCTCGCTCGCACCTCGCGGGCGCTCCTCCCCGCCCTGTCCTGGCCATTCATGCCTGGGTCATCCACGCGCCGCCGTGTTCTCTACAGTACACGACAAAAAAAAACATTGAATTTTTTTGAACATTTCTTCTTTTGAAATCTTCTAAATTTTCTCGTAAAATTTTAAAAAAAATCTACGGCAAGGCCATAATTTTTTTAAAAATAAGTGTCCCTGGTCAAATTGAACGGGGCGAATGTGCAGTTCACTTTGGCTTCTCGCAACCCTGTACGATGTTAGAGTTGCGGTGGAATTCATGGCGGATGGTTCAGTAGGAACCGAACGTTTAGCGGCTCATTTTGTAAATTGCCGCTTGTTTTGCGGTATGAGAAATTACGCTATCAAGTGAAGAACACAAAGAACACACGAACGTACCCTCGTACCCACATCACATCAAAAACAACAAGGGCAAGAAAAAAATCCTAGCAAATGGCTGTAAATAATTTGGTACTTAAATTTCGGAACTCTATTTTGAAAAATCGCCGCGTGTCATAGCCTCGATACTTGTTTAGTTTCTAATTTGCACGGTAAGTTGTGTGGGGCTGGCGAGAAATGTGAGGAGCAAGGTTATTTTCTTGTTCCAACCTCTGCTTAGCAGGTGGCCCCTAGTGCTGTGCTGGTTGCCCAATGGATTGTTATTGTTAAAGCTTGCGATTCATTCTGTGATTTATTGAGGCATATGATCAATTTCATTGATGTTCAACATCATTCTAAGTTTTGTCAAGAATAGGTGTCAGTTGAAACAGAACTCCTGCAGACCCATAATAGCTTCACAAAACTCGCTTCATGTTTCATCACATTTTAAATAATTATTGATACCTTTCACCTTCTGATCGTCTCTGTTTACCTTTGTTTACAGTTTCACCAATGGACCAAGAACGCACTTTACTAATAGTTGCGGTTGGAGTCGCTGTCGCTGTTGGATGTTTCGTTTTATGGGGTCCTGGAACTTTTCGAACAAAGAAGAAAAAAGGTATGTCAGAACTTGCCAGTGTTATATCATCCCTTTCATCTTTGCAACTTAAATTAATTTTTATATTTTCTGTCATTGGGCTTTTTTCTCATTTCAGGACATATTGTTGGCTTGTTAAATCTAGGCCACACATGTTTTTTGAATACCCTTCTACAAGGGCTTGCCTCCTGTCCAACTGTATTAGACTGGCTCTTGCAGCACAAAGATATCAATGAAGATAGCCTTGTATCTGCTCTTCGCACCGTCCTACTTGGTAATGAGATGACATATTTGCGTAAATCATGCTTACATGCACTCAACATTTTTGTCTATTCATGTCATCTTTAATTTTTCAGTTTTGAATGGAGAGCACGACTCTACGGTCAGTGATCCTTATGCTCCGACTGCAGTTATATCTGCCCTGATAAGACACAGTTGGGTTATTTCGCCTGGAGAGCAGGACGCTCACGAGTTGTTTCATGTCTTATTGGAGACTTTGGAAGAAGAAATGACAGCGTCTTCGGGGAAGGTAACAACAAATGACATCGTTTCTTTTATCTTCTGTGGCAGCTTGTCTTCTTTTTCTACGGATATTTTTTTTTCCAGAATGGCAGTTTATCTGATGTGCTGCTTCTTCCTGATAGATGTGGGCAAGGGGATGACTCAGGTGTTTCTATCTCATCCAAAAAAAGTGTTCCTAATGGTGAAATGTTAGTTCTCCTTCTACTTTAACTATTGATCTTAATTTATGGTTGTTCCGTCTGATATGTTTTTATGATTGACATTTGTACATCTTGTAACAGTAATTGTGATGGAGACCAGCACTCATTATTATCTCCAGTGTCTCGGTTTCGACCAATCAGGCGCATTCGTGCCGGAGGAAGTGATCCAACAGCACCATCTGTTGAAACGCTGCCGCTTCATTCTCAACCCAATCCTCCCCCTTTTCGAGGGACTCTTACTAGTCAGCTCAAGTGCACCGAGTGTGGATTTAAGGTTTGTTCTTTCCATTTATGTTTTGTACACCCATTTTCTCTTATCTAATTTTTGCGTGTCTTTCAGTCTGCCCTTAGGTTTGATAAATTTGATACTCTTTCTCTTCACCTTCCATCTGTCAGAGGGCTCCGCCTTACCTTACAGATGCTGTTGGACAATTTTGTGAGAACAGAAACTGTAAAAGATGTTACATGCACCAACTGCAGTAAAGGTCAAGAGAAGCCAGTTCAAACCACAGCCATGAAGACTTTGAATTTTGGGAAGGTATGGCAGTTCCTTCTCCCTTGTATCTTGCAACTTCTCATCTTCTTTAATCATGCTCATTGTCCCTACTAATTTTGCTGCGTTTCCTTAAAAATTAATATTCCAGCTGCCAAAATGCCTATGTCTACATATTGTGCGAACCACGTGGAATAAAGATGGCTCAGCTTGGAAAAGGGATGATTTTGTAGATTTCCCAGAGTTTCTTATTATGGACAACTATACACATTCACAAGTTCAAAGGAATGCCAGAGTAAGATATTTGGATATTGACTAGCCCTGTTTTAAAAGCCATGCCTTTTTTTATTTTGGCATGGTTTTATTTTTCTCTTTTAATGTAATTTACCTTTACAGAAAATGGTCAACACTTTAGACAGTGATAAAACCAAAGATGTGAGTGTCCTAGGCGTCTTTTCTAAAACCTGGATTTACCAACAGAAAAAATTTCTTTCTTAATATTAATAATTATGACTTCTCAGGTACCTTTAAAATTTCCATCTAATGGTAGTTCTCATGTGCCCCCACAACAGACTGAATCTGCAGCTCCCAGGTACAAATTTCTAAGCATAATAATAAAGCTTTTTGCCAATTCCATTGCATCATATGACATAAAATAATAATAATTATTATTATTGCAGGGCAAGACACATGTATCGACTCAAAGCTGTAGTTGTGCATACAGGAGATGTTAATTCTGGACATTTTGTCACTTATCGTAAAGGTCCTATCAACTCGCTCATTAGGCATAGGTATGTTTCCTACTTCTTTCATGAATATGTTATGCCCAGTTGCTATCAGAGCAGATGTTGCACTGAATTTACCGTAGGTAGTGCATTCACTCCTTTGCTTGGCAATCCAAAGCATAGAATGTAGATATTTTGTTTGTGACAGTGTCTTGTACAATTATACCAGCATAACAGAGAATAAAATTTCTCTCTTTGGAAAATTAAAACTTTCATTGTATGAGAATCTAGATGAAAAATGTCCTATCTTTTCTGTACTCAGTATGTCTGATATGAGGACAGTAAACTAAAGTTGATTGCTCATTGGCTTTTAGAAGTGTGAGTGTTATTGGCTGGGTATTTTTCAGGCTGTTGAATGTGGAGTCGAAAATGGAACATCCTGAAAGCAGAGAGAGTACAAGGTATCTGTCAGTTTGAAGTAGTAAAGTTGTATTTCTTTTTTCTTTTGTCACATTTTGAGGCTTTGTACTTTGTATGTAGGTATTGGTAAAGAACATCTGCCATTTTTTCCCTGTTGGACATTCCCCTTAGAAACCTATCCTGGATTATTGCATGTTCATTACAGACAAAACTTTTTAAAAAGTTCTGATGTGGCTTTATTATTTGTTCCAGGTGGTTCTTCACATCTGATATGGTGGTGAGAAGAGCAACAATGTGTGACGCTTTGCTTTCAAATGCCTATATGTTATTTTATGAAAGATGTGTTCTGCCGGAAACCAGATTTGTGTAATGTTAAGTTTGTCCTTAGGTTGTAGCCAATTATTTCTGGAAAAGAGACAGGGCTTCCATTTCAAATAAATTTATAGTTTTCTGAAGTTTTCGTGTCCTTTCAAGTTATTTTCCTGCATCTCTTTAGACATCTTTCAAGACTACTACATTTGCCTCTGGAATGTGCTTTTTCGAGTGAGTGCCGAGCGCCTGTCACGAACCGGTTAGGCCACCCAACGTGCACCCATGCATCAAGCGTGTCGGACAAGACGGCGAAGGGAAGGGCTTGCGTTGCGTTCGGGCATGAGGCGGCGCCTTCGCCCATAGAACACGAAACGCTCACGACGCAGTCAAAGAAAGTTGTCAAAACAATGTTTGTTTTTGTCAAAATTTTGACTCAAAATGAAGCTTGGTCACATTGACATCAAATGACGTCACGGCTAGTTCTTTGGCTCGTCGCAAGGCAGGCTGGACATGCACGTAGCACAGCACGCCGTCATACAACAAGGTGATAAACATTTCGCAAAGCCGTTGCGGTCGTCATCGAAAAACTTGTCGGAAAAAGGCATAGAGGATCGAGGCACACCTTTCCTGTCCGAAGCGAAGCGCTACACTGTAACGCGCACCCTGCATTCCTCGTGTCACGCCAAGGATGACAGGCCCCCTTTTCTTTAATCTCCCCTTTCTTTGCTTCTTTGCGCGGGGCGATTCCCGAATCCGTCATGTTTCTGCTTCTTTCCATTCGCTGCATTGGCTGCCCAGTGCAAACAGTGGCGTGGACGTCGTGGAGCCCGGTGCCGGACAGGATTAGGACCACCGCGGCGACAGCGCGACAGGCCGGTTCCGAGTACTTCTGAGCAGCGCCTCGTCGCTCCGTCTCTCTCGCACACCCGGAGGGGGTGCGGAGACCCCAAGAGTGCGAGAGAGACGGGGTGACGACTGAGTACGACTGAGGGCTGTTCTGAAATCAGCGCGCGGGGCGCCGCCGCGCCCGCCGAAACCATTCACGTCCATTTCTTTGAGGTGCTGACAAGCCTGAAAAGTCCAACTTTGGGCGTCGATACCTCAAGGCGGGCGTTACAAGTCGGCTGACGATCTCGTTCGACGGGGAGGTGACGCGACAAGATACGAACTTGCAAGACGCGACGACGGCGACAGAAGTTGGCTGGCGAAAGGAAATTCGAGATGAATAGGGTGCATTGTTTGCCCCTGTCTATCTGTAACGCGCGCTCGCGTGTGACTCACGCCTTTTCTCTTTCAGAGGCGTTGTCGTGCACGTCACGCCGCGCGGCGCCACGCCACGCCGCGCCACGCCACGCCGCGCCACGCCACGCCACGCCGCGCCACGCCACGCCACGACGGAAGCACTTCGGAGAAAGGAGGTCCCCCTGTCCCACCTAAAGACCTGCATCACGGCGTCGCCAAAAGTCGCGCCCGTCGCCACGTACCTCAACAAGCAGGCCGAGTCCACGGTGGAGGTCTCTCTCGCACTCATGGGACCTCCCGCACGGGTGCGAGAGAGACAGGCGGACGAAGGCGGGGGCGGACGCCAACCAACGCCAACCCCGACCCGACAGAGAGAGACAGACAGACAGCAGGAATGCGGGAGGAAGAGCGGGACGGAAGGCGCGTCGCGCCGCGCCGTGTGGCACGCACACAGTGTGGCCGCGAAAACAAAGACAAAGACGAGGATGACACGCGGCAGATCCAACTCACACAAACAGAGACACGCCTCAGCGCCGGCCGCGCCCGCCGCGCCAGCGCCAAGCAAGCGCCGAGGAAACGATGACTTTCTTAGCCGGAAAACACACCCATAAAGTACACGTCCTGTAAAACAGTGATCAGCGAGGCCCGGCACAGCCGCCCGGCCCAGCGTCGCCCAGGGGTTGACTGCAGCGCGAGGAACCCGCATTTGACACGCTCCGGTGGCCAGTGGCCGGCTGGGCGTGGGGCGTGGGAGTGTGCAAAGCAGTGCAAAGCGAAATCCTTGCCTTTTCATTTCTCTCAGCTGCGGGGCGGGGCGGGGCGGGGCGGGGCGGGGCCTGTCGCCGTGCGTGCGGAGTGCGGGCGCAGTCAGTCCGTGTTGCAGCCGTTGCAGTGCGTGAGACTCTTGCCCCTACAAGGCTGCGAGCGCGAGAAGAAACCCTATTGACCCGATTTTCATTTTTATTCTACAACTTAATCCATTTTTCGCGCCCCGGGCCGGTCCTGTATTAGCGTTCCGGTTTCAGAGTTCTGTAAAATGCCTCTCAGGTCGACGGGGACGTTTCAAGGCGCGTTTGAACGGGCCGCCCGCTGCCAGTGCTGCCACGGCCACGGCGGCGCCCCGTGGAGTCCGCAGCAGAGTCATTCCTCGAGCCGTTCTCGTCGCTCTGTCTCTCTCGCAACTCTACGGGACGCCCCATGAGTGCGGGAGAGGCAGAGCGACGAAAACGACTCTGGGAATCAGTCCGCAGTCCGACGCGTGACTCAAAGATGATCATCATTGCCGCGCTGCATTCTCATTCCGAGCACGGCGATGCTAAAGGCTGTCCGGCGCGTATCTCATTGCGGATCGCATCGTCGATTGGTATCACAAATTAGAGCAAATTCAGCAAAGAACAGAAAATGGCGGTTGATAATTTTTTTTCGCTCAGCCTGGAGCGGCTTGCGGACCCGCACTTGCACTTTCTCGCCGTTTCTCAGGAAATGTTATTAGATTGTTGTGTTCCCGATTCCCAGGGCGGAACGCCGCCGTTCGGGGCATTTAGCGGCCGAGAGGCGAGCCTGGAGGCTGATTCCGAGCACTGCCTTCGTCACTCTGTCTCTCTCGCACTCACGGGGCGTCCCGTAAGGGTGCGAGCCCTTGTAACAAGTAAAATGTATGGAAAACGTCCCCTCACGCCCTACGGCAAACAAAAAACCGTATACGGCCCTGCCTGCCCCGCGGATTCCGCGAGGCTCCTGAACCACTACATCTCGCGCGATCAATTCGCGGAGCCGCGGAGCTCGGGAGCGAGCCGCGCGCAGGAAGCGTGCGTTTTGCGTCCGAGCCGCACCTAGGTAAACAGCCTGCGTTGTACGTACGTACAGTCAGAGGCAGAAGCAGGTCGGCCTCTAGCACGGAAAATTGAAAATGGTGGGAAGAAACCAAAGTATGCTCCAACAAAAAATTAACAAAAGATACAAGGGGAAATCTACAGTCTGTAAATTGAAGAGCTTAACGCAGTCACAAGTGGCACCAAAAATTGATCCGATTGTTGAGAAAAATGTGTAGTGCGTTTCGTTTTTGACGAGACTGTACGCCCGCGTTGGAGCCAGCTGTGGGCGGGCATCTAGAATGCGATACGCGTGACCCCGGGCCGGGCGGGGCGGGGCGGGGCGAGGCGGGGCGGGGCGGGGCGGGGCGGGCCGGATGGATGGGCTGTTGGCCCTTCGGCAGGGCCCGTGGCGGCAGACTGATTTCGCTCTGTCTCTCTCGCACTCGCGGGGCGTCCCGTATAGGCGCGAGAGAGACAGAGCGAGGGCCTCGTTCGCAGCGTGGGCGTGCGTGCCACAGGCGTGCCCGCCGATCCGCCGCCGTGGATCACCGAACGGAACCTTGAATTCCTCCGAGCAGATTGGCGGCCAGCAGGGCGGAACCACTGATCCGTTTAGAGCAGAAGAGGTGCTTCGCACTTTTGGTTGATTTCGGGCCGGACGCGAACCGAACGTGTGACCCCACTGGTGAAACAAAGGCATAAAAATTATGCCCTTTAAGGGCGTAAACGATTTACGCCCTTAACCCTTTAAGTCACAGACACTATAATCTACGATAAAATTGATGCCATTAGCATATATTGACCATTTGGCACCCACTGATAACATTTCCCTAATAGAAAAGTGAAGTCCCTCTTGAGTCTTTTTTGCCAAGTCCCTCTGTAGTCCTTATTTGAAAACCCTCCGAAGTATCTAGATGGTGCATTTCAGGGATTAGGGATTTCGGGTGAAAAGGGATTTCAAAGGGACTTGAAATCCCTCCGAAGTCTCTTTTGGAGGCAAAAGAAAAAGAGGCGGACGGAGTTGAACCCTGGGTCTTCACCTTACTGGCAGGAGACGTTATCCACTGCGCTGCCTGCTCTTCGTGGAGGGATCGGGTCAGCCTGCCTACCACTATCTGCCGGAGCTCAGTCAGGCGCAAGGCTCTGTCCGTTGCAGTTTTGCGTGGTTGATGGTTGTACTAGGGGGTTTTAAGGGCAGATAAACGCAACGGTGCCCTCCGTTTTCTCCTCAAATGCATATTTACAAGAATAATACGATGATCAATATTCAAATTTGAATAAGACATTGCTTTTTACCATGATAACTTTGACAGTAGGTGACCAGTATTTGGTTTATTCCGATTTCGTTCATACAATGCACACAATCAACTTTACTGAATGAAACTCATTGTGAATTACGAATATGAGTCCATGCAAGTGTCTACACGCATGGTGTTGTGCATACATTTGTCAAAGTATTGAGAGGTCATACGCTTACTTTCAGGGACTTGCGAGAGATTTCACAGACCATCCTGCCAGATCAGGGACTTCGGAGGGACCTGGTCGGGGGAGGGACTTGACAGGGACTAAGTATGGACTTCAAATCTCCTGAAATCCCCGGTGGACTTTGGAGGAACAAAATAGGAGCCATCCAGGGACTTCGTTTTCTATTAGGGTTTTGATAATTTTGAAGTGGAGGGATGCCTAGTTTGTCCGCTGTGGAACGTTGTATAGGAACAACATATGACTTGAGGGTCGTACGGTACCGTTTTCCTTTTCTCTGTCTGTTGCGCCCCCGTGTAGCGAATTTGATGTGAAATGGCTTCCGAAGAACCTTCAGAATAGTCTTGGGATTGTATTTGATCATTCTTATCTCGTTAAGGTGCCAAAACATGCATAAAAGTGGTCAAATTCCGGGAAAATGAACTCGTATTCTCCTCTTCTCCCCCCGTGACCGAAATTTCACCAAATAATAAGCAACACGCATTGACAGCACCATAAGAATATTTTCTGCTTCGGCCAAAGTAAAAATTTCTTGATAGAGTGGCCCCGATGGTGAAAAGCATGGAACGTAGTATACATACAACATCGTGATCTAAAGGACACCC